AGGAGTTTCTGGATGAGTTACAATCAGCCACTATTTTACAAAGCTGGATCTCAAGGCCGGATATCATCAAATACGGATGGAGGTTGAGGATATTCCCAAGACGGCTTTTTATACTCACCATGTCATTTCGGATTTTTGATGATGCCGTTTGGTTTGACAAACGCGCCCTCGACGTTTCAAGCTTTGATGAGTAAGATGTTCCAGGCTCAGTTGAGGAAGAGCGTGCTTGTATTTTTTGACGATATTTTGATCTACAATCCATGCTTGGAGTAGCATTTTGCAAATTTGAAGGTGGTATTCAGTTTACTACGACAACATTAGCTATTTGTTAAGCGGAGAAAATGTTCTTTTGCTCAATCCTCAGTTGATTATTTAGGCTATCCTATCTCTGCTGGCACAGGTAGCATGGATCAATGCAAAATAATGTGCATCAGAGATTGGCCTGTCCCCACCACCGTCAAGCAACTGAGGGGATTCCTAGGATTAACAGGTTACTATAGGCGCTTCATCAAACACTATGGTCTGATTTGTAAACCTTTAACTGAGCTTTTGAGGAAAAATGCTTTTAAATGGATTGATGAATCACAGAAAGCTTTCCTGGAGCTAAAGCAAGTCATGATTTCTTCCCCAGTATTGAAAAAGCTTGATTTCTCCTTACCACTTGTAGTTGAGACAGACGCCAGTGAGATAGGGATGGGGGTTGTACTTATGCAGTAGGGGCAGCCCATAGCATACCTCAGTAAGGCCTTTAACAAGCAGAATCAAGGGTTGTCTGTGTATGATAAGGAGTTAATGGCACTGGTTCTAGCTGTAACTAGGTGGCGGCACTACTTGGTGGGGGTGCACTTCATTATCAAAACCGACCATCAATCTCTAAAATACCTGTTGGAGCAGAAGATTGTGAGTTCTTCTCAGCACAAATGGCTCACAAAGCTGTTGGGTTATGATTACAAAATTCATTACAAGAAGGGGAAAGATAACAATGCGGCTGATGCTTTGTCCAGGAGAGTGTTTAGTGAAGATGACAGTGATTCACTGGGAGGGGAATCTAGTAGAGTTCACTGTGCCCTTACAGTTGCTAATCCTCAATGGATGTATGATATCATTTCTAGTTATGAAGGTGATCAAGAAGTAAAGGATCTCATAGTGACCGTGACCATTCATCCTGATATGAACTCTGATTTCCAATACATTTAAGGGATTTTGAGAAAGAAGGGGATTTATGTGGGGTGTGGTACTGATATCAGGTCCACCTTGGTTGAATCTTTCCATTCCTCAGCTCTGGGAGGTCATTTGGGTCAGAATGCTACCCTTCAAAGGTTGAAATCCTTGTTTTTCTGGCCTAATATGAAGAAGTGATCGATCTCCTATATTCAGCAATGTGAAGCCTGTCAGAGAAACAAAGGAGAACATGTTCATTCTCCTGGCCTTTTACAAACTTTAACAATTCATGTCCATGCTTGGAAGAGTATTTCTATGGACTTTATTGTCAAATTACCTCCCTCTAGGAATTTTGATACTATACTGGTGATAGTGGACCGCCTGACTAAATATAGTCATTTCTTGGCTTTGGAAGCTCCTGTTACAGCTGCAAGGGTGGCAGAGGTATTCCTGAGTTAAGTATTCAAACTACACGGTTTACCCGATGACATAGTGACTGATCGAGATCCTTTATTCACCAGTAATTTTTGGCAAGCTCTCTTCCAGCAATTGGGTGTGAAGTTGAAGATGAGTACGTCATACCACACCCAGACAGATGGCCAGACCAAAAGGGTCAATCAGTGTGTGGAAACTTATCTTCGCTGCTTCTGCTATGACAAGCCTGATACCTAGAGTTTGTGGTTGCCACTTGCCGAATGGTGGTATAATACCTCCCATCATGTGAGTATTCAGATGTCCCATTTCGAGGCTCTACATGGAGACAGACCCACGCCATTTTCCATGGGACCATTCTCTGAGAGTGTCGTACCTGCTGCTGCTGACAAAGTTCAATAAAAGGTGATTGTTTTGAGGTTATTGAAGGACCATCTAGCTCAGGCTCAAAACCGAATGAAGGTATATGCCGATCAGAAACGCTCTGAAAGATCCTTCGGGTTTGGCGATTGGGTGCTCCTGAAACTTTAGCCGTATAAATAGAACACTGTAGCTGTGAGATCTTACTTGAAGCTGACTTCTAGATTCTTTGGTCCATACAAGATACTAGAAAAGATTGGCACCGTAGCTTATTGACTTCAGTTTCCAGCGCATGTGAGGATTCATGCTATGTTTCATGTCTCATTACTCAAGAAGTTCCATGGCCATGTAACCGCTGTTAGTATACCTTTACCTGATTTCTCTGTGGTCGGAGGTTGCCTTTTGTGTCCTAAGAAGGTACTGAAGAGACGTTTCATTGACAGGAGTGGCCACCAGGTTGTGCAGTGGCTAATCTTATGGAAGGGTTTCGGTATGGAAGATGCTTCTTGGGAGAATCAAGGTTTCATTCGGAAGCAATTTCCAGAATTCAAACCTTGAGAACAAGGTTTTGCTTAACGGGAAGGGAGTTATCACAGGCTAGGGGTTTAATTGCAATACTGAATAAAGTGAAGGGCTTGATGTTAATAGGTGGATTTTAATAGATAATATTGGGGTCTTCTGGTTAGTTTTTGTTTTGGCCATTTAAGGTCATTTTTCGGCCAACTGGATTCTTCCAAAAACGGTTACACCTTCACGCATTTCATTTCTGATTTTGGTAGCTTGTAAAAGGGGATGTAATTCCCTGAATGAGTTTTGTCGAAGAATATATCAGATTTATTGCTTCTTTTATTCTTTATCTCTTTTCGTAATTTCTGGTTCTCTCTGTCCTTGTTGCAATTCCGGTAACTTCCGCCGGGATCTGACGGCTAAGTTCTACAAGATAAAACCAAACCCAAAAAAATAAAAATTATATTAGTATAAATTGTCCAATTATTTGAAATGATTGTGTAGTTTAAATTTTTTATTTTGTATAAAATTTCATTTCATATTGTCCAGTTTAAGTTGTGTTAAAAATAAATATCTGAATTGCACAACCATTTCAAGACGGAGTGACTACTAAAAATATGAAAAAAAAAAATGTAATTTTTTTATTTTTAAGTCACAATTGTTTTACGAATAAAAATGATGGAAAAGGAAACTTTTTATTTTATTGAAGAAAAAAATCATACACCGTGCATTACACTTTTAGCCAACTCACGAGCAGCCTCGACTGCAGTTTGTATCGTACATTTACCCTCCGCCTTCTCATTTATAAGGCATAAATTCTTTTGAGATCTTATAAAATAAGGCGACAGAAATTTTTAGGCTTCAAAAAAGTCGTTTTGAGCAATCATCCAGTTGGCAAACCAAAGCAAACGTTACAGATAAACCTCAGCAATTCATGAATCTTTATCCTTCTCTATTATTAGTTGATATAAATAGTCGAGATTAGAAACATGATTTTCAATGGTTGAATGTTGTTATCATAAATTCGCGAGGAAACTACCTTTCACTAGCGGTCCATCCAAAACTTTCACTAATCTTAGGATAATAAAGAGTCTTCTAAAAGAGTCTAAAATCACCAATAAGGTGAAGAACAAGGAAAACTGTAGGCAAAGCTACGACTTGCACAACCCAAAACTAGGAATCGAGATTTGCCCTATAGAGGGAACTTCTTGGGAGACCTAGAATTGATTTGTAGGACTTGTTTGATCAAAATAGTAAGGTGTTTTAGTTCCCATAAGCGAGGTTTCGGATTCGAGTCTAGTGAATGGAAAGAGTAATGTTTGAAGAACTTTTCTTCCGAAACAAGACCGATGCGGCTCGGTACGGATTTGTCTAAATACAATACATTTGGGACACTGTTCATTAATATACTAAAAAAGAATTGACTTATAGGGAACAAAAAGGGGAGACTTTGGGGTAATTGTAGGAGGTAAATTAGATGGTAAAAAATACACAACTCAAAATTAGATTGAGATAACAACGGTTGGAACTTAATATATTATTCTTTTTTCGTCTCAAAATAAAAGTTATGTCCATTGAACAATACATTAGAAGGACAAAATTTGGTTTGACCTGTATTGTTTCAAATTCTTCAACAATTGACGGAGACGTAACACTTAATATGAGTTGTAAATTTTGTGGCTTATTTTTAAAAGCGAAAAACAGTAAATAATGATAAATTAAACTCCATCTCAAGACTTTAGGGTTAAATTTTGGACAAGATTTCCTAAGATTTGACATTTAACATACATTAAGGAAGAAGATTAAATTAACTTGGTTCCAATCACAGAGAGTGATAGGAAGAAAGTTAGTTGTCCATGTATGCTTTCCCGCGCTTTTTGCACACCGATAAATATAACTCAACATTAAATTAATCCGATGCCAGAATTCCCCAATTTCCCAAAACAGAAAAAATTTGTGAGAATTATAACATTTCCTTAACAGATCAACCTCTGTTTTTTCTTTCTTCTTCAATTCTTTTCTCTCTCTCTCTCTCTCTCTCTCACACACACACACACACACACACATTCTCTGATTCTCTTCATTTCTCATTCTCTAGACGAAGATGAATGTAGGCTATCCCACTAACCCCATTTTTTGCTCCTTATCGAACATGCAACCCACGTCCCTCGCTTCTCAACCAAAGTAAACTATTCTTCTTAATTCAAAGAATCAACAACCCCCAAAAAAAAAATAACCTTTTAATTATTACCTCGTCTCAATCAAGCAAATCCATTAGAGAACCAGAAAAACCCTTTCCTCTCTACCTTTTTTTTTTTTTTCACGTCAATTTTCTCTGTTTTGGACAGGAGGAGGGTGGTTTTTCTTCTTTTCATCTAATAACACACAACATTTGTTTTTGGGTTCCGGGTTTGATTCGTGATATGTTAATTTTCAATATGGAATTGGAAGAACAACAAGAACAACAACATCAAACGGTCCTTAGAAAGATTCAGAAGTGAAATAAATTGGATAAAAAACAGAGGAAAACAGGGGCTTGAATGGTTGATAAATCCCACAGCTTTAAGAAGTCGTTTTCGTTTAATTTAAGAAAGATGTTTGAGATTCCAGGGAGACAGGCTCATAGTATGATCCTCGAAAGTGGGAATCCCCGGGAGACTCCTGATGACAAATTGTTGTTCAGGAGTCATGGCGGTGGAAGACCTTTGGATTCTGCGACTCAACATATAGGTAGTGTTTATAATCGTTCTTTGGATAAAGGCCCTGTTTCTCGATTGACCCATCATGAAGGCGGCAAAGCAGGAGGAGGCCCAAAAGAATCCAGGCCGCCCTCAGGTATTGTTCTTTCAGAATTGCCTTTCTTTTCTTTTGTGTTTTAGGCTGGTAATTTGTGTGCATATATTTGTTTGTATTTTGTGGGTTAGATTTGGAGTTGATGAAGGAAAGATTTGCAAAGCTTCTTTTGGGAGAAGATATGTCAGGGGGTGGAAAAGGTGTTTCATCAGCTCTGGCATTGTCAAATGCCATTACAAATCTTGCTGGTATGAGAAAAAAGAAAAAAAAAAAAAAGTTCAAATCTTGTAATTACAATAATTTCTGGTTGATTTGTTTCACAATGTAATGAATTGGAAAATCATCATATGCAGCTTCTGTATTTGGGGAACAGAGAAAATTAGAACCAATGGCTCCTGATCGGAAGTTGAGGTGGAAGAAAGAAATCGAATGGCTTCTATCTGTGACGGATTACATTGTTGAGTTTGTGCCTTCTCAACAAGTTTCAAAGGATGGAAAGAGTATGGAGGTGATATTCCATATTCTCCAGTTTTAATGGTCACAAGTTTGAATAGATTGATGATCTGAGATTTTCTTTTTCTTCCTTTAAAAACAGATTATGGTTACTCAACAAAGAAGAGATCTGCTTATGGGTATACCTGCATTGCGCAAACTCGATACCATGCTTATTGTGAGAATCCAAATCTTCGTCTTCTTCTATGCTTGATTGGTATTAGACCTCTCCATTCATACTTACATTTTGTGCTGAATGAACAAACAGGATTGCCTGGATAACTTCAGAGATGAGAATGAGTTTTGGTATGTGTCAAAGGATGCCGATGAGTCGGAAAAAGGTGTACAAAGAGATGATAAATGGTGGCTGCCAACAGTCAAGGTTCCTCCAGATGGTTTATCAGAGGCATCAAGGAAAAATCTGCAAACTCAGAAGGAATGTGTCAACCAAGTACTTAAAGCATCAATGGCCATTAATGCTCAAATACTATCAGAAATGGAGATCCCAGAGAACTACATTGAATCCCTTCCTAAGGTATAGACATACTCAACATTCTAAATCAAATCAACAAGAAGAAGTCAGTCTTTTGCTAACTTTTGTTCATTCCTTTTGTCCTTTTAGAATGGTAGAGCCAGCCTTGGGGATTCAGTGTACAAGAATATCACGGTTGAGTTCTTCGATCCTGAACAGTTCCTTTCGACAATGGACTTGTCATCGGAACACAAAGTTCTTGATCTCAAGAACAGAATCGAGGCATCTATCGTGATTTGGAAGAGAAAGATGCATCAGAAGGATGGGAAGTCTCCCTGGGGTTCAGCTGTGAGCTTGGAGAAGAGGGAGCTCTTTGAAGAAAGAGCAGAAACTATCTTGCTTCTGCTAAAACAGCGTTTCCCTGGACTTCCTCAATCCTCTCTTGACATTAGCAAAATCCAATACAACAAAGTATGCTTTCTATTTAGTTCAAACCATGTTATATACCTCTGTCTTAAAGGATTCTCAAGGTCAATTAACAACATTTGGTAATCTTTCTGACTATACCACAGGACGTGGGACATGCTATTCTGGAAAGCTATTCGAGGGTACTAGAAAGCTTGGCGAACACAGTGATGTCGCGCATTGAGGATGTGCTGTATGCAGATAGCGTAGCTCTAGATCCGTCATTATTAGTTGCTAAACAGAGGCCATCTCGAAGTTCTTCACCACGGCTAAGTAACTTCTCAAGTACCGGAGAGGAGACAGAGAGGCTGAGTTCTGTCGGGACACCAACTTCAATGACACTGTCCGATTTCATGGGGTGGAATGTGGAGCAGGCAGAATCAGACTTGAAGAAAATTAGCTCTATTGGTAATATAGACAGTCTGCCTAAGGAAGAAAATGAGAAGACACTAAGCAAACTTGGTATAATTAACATTGGCAAGAAACTATCTTACATTGACAAGGTTGAGTTGAGTTGTCTTAGAAGTCCAACAGCTCGTCATTAACTAATCAACGGAGCAGGCTTTACAGGAAACGGATGCACAATTATTATCAGGTAATCAACAGAGAAAGCTGAAAGTACAATCTGTAAATACTCACTCTTTGAGGAGTTTATTTGAGTTAGTATATGCTTTTATAACTGCTCTTCCTTCCTTTGATGGATAGGGAAGTACAAATTCTGTACCATTAAGTTTGATCCATTTGAGCTTTTTTTTTTTTCTTTTGCTCCGAAAGTTTTGAATTGCAACCTTTGTAATTTGTTGTCTCTTTCTTATAACAAAATAGTTTCTTAGCACTTCTGAGTTCTGATATATTCCCCTCTAATTCATTTTGTTCAGTTCAAGGCTTACAAATGGTTTGACAACTAGAGAACCAGTTAGAACTTAACTATAATCAAATTAGAGTCCCGGACGACATACTCTTAAGCAAAGAGAACTCATCATGCGTGATTATGGAATCCTTCAATAAGCTGGATTCACATAGAAAGACTGCTCTTACTACCAGCAATACCCCCTGATTGTCTTAAAGTACTGGAAAATACGAACAAACAGGGCTATTCGCAAAAGCAAGTAGAACTCATTTACCAAAAATTTGACTGTTACACAGTTCACAGACAGTAATGAGCATTGACTGCTACCCTTTTTGTTCCAGCAAGCATGTTTGCTGTAAGGAATAACTATAAGAAATCCAAAACTTGGGCTATGCATTGCCTACCTCATTCTGATCAACTTATGCATTAACAGACAATGTATTTAAGTGAGATCGATTTCATAACCAATGCCTCTAGACCACAGTGGAAACAGCGGCATGTATAGCATCCGCGAGAAGTGGGACAGTCTGAGAACTAAGACCAGCCATACTTATTCTCCTGTATCAAAATAAATATACGGAAGTTCAGTGAACAAGAAACGAGCAATAGAGGAAGATATCCAGTACCATTTCTTCTAACTTACCCATCAGATGTCATGTATATGTGATATTCTTGAGTCATGAAAGCAACTTGCTTAGCATTCAGCCCTGTGAAAGTGAACATCCCTATTTGCTTGATTATATGACTCCAGTCACCAGGTGTACCTATCAGAATTTCAGAAGATGTGTAAATGGTCCTGAAGGCTGAACGTATATTATTCCATAGATAATTTCTTCCTCTGAAAATATAAAAGAGGAGAATAAAAATAGTTTTTTTGGCATAAAGTGATGGTAAGACATTTATACATGATCCATATTGTTTACCCTACATTATGGGATGAAGGCTTAGTTTTTGTTGTTCGTGTTACAAAAGGAAATAGTTGGTACAAATAAACTAGTCCAAGAAAGGATAAGGCCGTCAAGGTTCTGTAATGTAATGCAGGAACTTTTGTTTATAAAATGTAATTTAATCAAGTACCTCTAGCTTGCAGGGCATCAAACAGCTGCTGGCGCATACTGATAATACGGTCAGCCATTGCTTTCAGCTCTTGTGTCCATTCATTGTACAGTTGGCTGTTGGTAACGAAAGAGCAGGCATCAGATTATACAAATGAATCTAAGAATAAAGAATGAACTTAATAACCTTGCCAGTCCGTTCTAAACTAGTAGAGTTTTTAGTCAAGATAATACCTGTCCTTGAGTATGGCAGCAACAATAGACGCACCATGAATGGGTGGATTGGAATACATGGGCCTAATTACTAATTTCAGTTGGCTTTCAACTCTGGAAGCTATATCTGACGTCTTACAAACCTGCAAATGGATAATTGGTCAGAACAAATTTCTGAACTGCAATTTTTAGCGGTAATATTTCTTAGCCCCAACGAGTGGCAAAAAATTTAATGTGAATCTAAAATCTGAAAAAATATATTGAGCCCCCAACCACACCCACAAAAGCACTTACTATGCTAAGTGCACCAACACGTTCGCCGTACAACCCCATGTTTTTTGCATAACTTTGCGCTGCTAGGCATTCACCACCATCAGAAACAAACATTCTAACAGATTGTGCATCTGTATCAAGACTGCCACTTGCAAAACCCTGCAATGTCAAAATCAAGTCCATTTCAATCATTGCAATCAGCTAGATTAAAAGTTAATCCCATCTAAAGCTAAGTACTGGCAATAAGGCATCTCAGATTTAGCAACCAAATTTGACGCTTTACAACTTGTTTAACCTTATTTTCTTAAAATCGTCAAAGCTACTAGTTCTGATTAAGAAAACATTAAAGCATTCTTGACCCGTCTAACAACTATTAGGGGCTACCTGATAAGCACTGTCAAAGAAGGGTAGGAGGGCTTTTGATCTCATCAACTGCCTGATTTGCTCCCATTGTTCAACAGTTGGGTCCACACCAGTGGGGTTATGAGCACAGGCATGAAGAAGAATAATCGCACCCGACGGGGCAGCACTAAGGTCTTCTAGCAGTCCTGATCAAAGAAAAGATCCAACAGAGTGGAAACAATGTCACAAGTGTTGCTGGTATGATCAACTTATAATTACAATACATCTGAACTCTGCTTGGAGGTGACGCCAGTGAGTTGCAAAAGAAATTTTAGTTAGATGGATATTACCTTGGAAATCCAGGCCGCGTGTCTCTGGGTTGTAGTAGCGGTAGGTCTTCACCGACAACCCAGCAATAGCGAACACTTTTAGATGGTTGCCCCAAGTTGGACTCGGCACATAAATGGTGCGCTGGCAAATTAGTAAAGCCATTTCCTTTAATTTATTTCTGACTGATGTGTGATCAGATGGCGAAAATTACAAAGAAATAACATTCACTCACTTCATGATAATGTCTAGCCAGGAATTCACCTCCAACCCTCAAGGAGCCAGTACCAGACAAGCATTGGACAGTGGTCACTCGATTCTCTTTAATGGCAGGACTATTCAAAGATGAGAAGAAATACAAAGAATGAATCCAGTTGATACTATAAGACTAATTGAAGAAAGACTGGTAAACCACTGAGAGAAACACTGTCATTGAAAGACTATAAAAAAAATATACACTTCTGTAATAAAAATTTGATATGTGAGTAAAAAACTGATCACACCAACAACTAAAAAGCTTTTCTGGAGAGCAATTTGAGAATGATAGACACTGAAATAACCTATAAATCAACCATTCTGATGCAATAAACTTCTGATCTCTTTAGAACACTACATAAACATACTTATTGAAGGTGTCTGAAAAACGTGATGATAATAACTTATGAGACCAGCAATTTACCTGTCAGCACCAAAAATGAGTTTTGCACTCAATTTGTTGAAGTCAGCCAGTCCGATAATGGGCAGATACTCCTTTACCCGAGACCTATGCATGAGAAATTAGATACACTACTTTATCCTTTTTCACTCCACAAAACAAATAACCGTACAAAAAAAAACTTACGGATCATTCACAAGCATTTGCTCTGCACGTCTCACCACATTGAGAACAAGGGGCTTCCCTTCCTGTTGTTAGCATAGACATGGCTAAGTACTAAGCAAAAGAATAGCCCTTCTCCAAGCATCCATTATTCCATTACATAGATTATCAAAGACAGTAGAAAAAGAGGAATTAAATTGGGAAAACAAATTGAAAAAATTGAAGGCCTTGTAGGGCCCTATTTTTGAACAAACAAGTCTGATCATAAAAAGAACAATCTTTCCTCATATATTTTGCTCTAAGAAGAAGGGACTACTGGAAATTTAGGACAAAAGGTGAAAGGAAAAAGAAACCAACCTCAGTTCGATAAGCACCAACGCCCAAATTCAATTTGTTTGGGTTGGGATCTTTGTTGTAAGCAACAGTGACCTGTTCCAGTCAAACATACACATGGAGACAAAAACCCAGTCAGAGACAATTATACTAAAAACAAGTACAAATTTCGTTCCCATGATCTAACAAACACCAAATTTCCTTTCCATGATCTAACAAAACAACGATCCCCAACACAAAAAACAGAGCTGAAAACATCAAAAGGGAAACACTATTTCAATCAACAACAACAACAAAAAAACAGAGAAACATGGGAAAAATAAAAGATATGATTACCCCCAAGATGGGATCTTCAGGAGCACGAACAACACCAGCGAAAACAGATTCAGCAGCCATATTACTGTTTGAAAATCTACAAAGGAATTAATTATATTTTTGTGATCTTTTTGGTTACTTTTGCATCAAGGTTCAGTGAGAAGAGGCTGGTGGGTGTCTTTATATATGAAACGTCTTAAGCTCTCGGAAGAGGAAAGAAAACAATGGGCTTTGAAAAATCGGGTCGGTGGAAACTGTGGACTTTAAAGCACGCTTGGTGCTGCTTCTGCTGCGACTCGTGCTCGTGGATTCTTACGCACCTGATTTCTTTATTCGATTCTGAAGTTAAGTTGGCCCATTTTAACTTTTTTAATATTGGTAATTGTACTTTTCTCGACTTGTTTGAGTTTCTAATTTTTAGTATTCTTTCCTTCTTTAAAAAAATAAAATAAAATAAAAGTCTGTATAAATTTTTTTTTTCTTGAGACCGAGAATGTATTACTCCCTTCATTCCAAACTAAGTGTCGTTTTAGTAAAATAGAGAAATTTCAAAATAAGTGTCGTTCTTACATTTCAATGCACTTTTTGTCAAAAATTTCTAAAATTACCCTCAAAAGAGTTGATGCTATTGGTGGACAATTTTATAATGGGGTTAGTTGAGGATACTCAAGTAATTTTATTACCCTATTTAAGAGTTTCTTAAACTATGTACAAAGTGTAAGAGGACATTTATTTTGGAATGGAGAGAGTATTAACTATAAAAGTATTAAAAGAGGTTGAAATTTGAGATTAAATTCTATTGAAAGAGGTTGAAATTTGAGATTAAATTCCATTATAATGCAATGCAACTAACAAATTTCCATTTTAAGTCAAAATGTGTCATTTTCTTTTACTTTCTTGCCCGAATTTCTACCAATAAAAAAAGCTGAGACATAGTCAAATGTTTATTTATGAAAGTTAGTTATGTGCAAGAAATAAGCAAGGTTTTGTACTTGAGGTTCTAGTCTGAAGTTTGAACCCCTCTATCCCTTTCATGTTATTATTATAGTTCAATTTGAAAGGTTGATCAGTTTACTTTTCTAGAATGTGAGACGGATGGAATATTTGTCGACTACTTGTCAACTATAATTTGCTCAATATATGGCTATGCTCTGTCTTAGAGGCAGAATACTGGGGGCACTTTTCGGCCTTAAAATAGCCTGGCAATTGGGCTTCAAAAGGATTCAGCTACAAATGAATAGCCTGGCTGCGGTAAAAGGCATAATGGAGGAAGAATCACCTCATGACACCAACACTGTCTCAAGCAACGTATTACCACGAATTAGACTCCTACTGAACTACCAATGGGAGGTTACATTAAGCGAGAGGGAAACGAAGTAGCAGACTCCTTATCTAAATTTGGTCTATCTTATAATTCGGGGCTACAAATATTACCATCAGCTCCGAACATAGTGTTAGACGTACTATCTTTTGATTGTCCGTTTCCATCTAGAGGTGTTGACGTTTTGCACTAAAGCGAAAGCTTCCTTAGTAACCAATATATATATAATCAATAGTCCTTCACAAACATTTTATACACACTAACACTCACAATTCACAGTGAGTTATTGGCATCAACAAGTTACAAAACTAGAATTACAAAGAACTACATGCAGACAAACGAAATCGTGATGTTATTTAGCTCATTGACCTCTTCGAATGAGCCACTTAATGTCCCTATTTCGAGTCAGTTTCCAGCTTCGGATGCCTCGTTTTAGCTTTGGAGTCTCCTGCAGAATTGCCGAGACAAAAATCAAACAAAATTAAGAATTATATTTTGGGACGGAAGGAATAACAAAAAACGCGTTTATAAACAAAATTATATTTTTCTCCACATTTGTATTATTCAATTGAACGACAAAAGAATTAACAAGCAGCTAGGAAGATGCACCAGAAAGTGAAACTTCTGATCTTTCAGTGGTGGTAATATGGACATTCCATCTCGAACTGGTAAAGCTGCAAAGTACATAACAACAACCACATAACTCCTATGTGAAAATTCAACCATAAATCCAGTTTATTGGAATCTGAATTTCTTCAGCTTAAGCTTCTTGATTATAAAATCAAATAAACTTTAGTTTAGATGGCTGGAAGGACCTGGTTTTGACAAGCTCTTTCTTCCCAGGAAGTTGTCGTCGAATGTGGAAAACAAGAAAAGTGGCACCTCCTCCTCTGTTTCCAGTAGTGCAGTCTTCACAGTAATCGGGCTTCTGGGAACACAAAATTTATTAGCTTCACTGGGATCATTTCAACAAGAAGAAAAAAGAGCGAAAAACCCAAAAAATGTTACCTCATGATTTTATCAGTCCTCAGAGGATCTTGGATTGCTAAGAAAGAGAAAAGGGATTATGATTGCATACAATGCAAAGCCATAACCAAAATTCATATGAAAGTAATAATACTCTTACGAGGTAAGATGTAACGAGGATAATGTCTTGGGAAGTAACCATCCCAAGAGTTTGATTTGAGAGCAAGCAGCTGAGAGTAACCTTGGCAAGTTCCAAGTCTCTAATTCAACAACAAACAGACATTAAAAATTTTCAAGACTGAAAATTACCTCAGAAGTGTCAAATTCAGAAGACATTGTTCAAAAAACAAACGAACTTGATTTAAGTTGTTAATCCTAAGCTCTGCCTCGGAAACAGAGTTGGTCTCTGTAAATCGACATTCGAGCTTAGCTGAAACAGTTCCTAGATGATCAACCACTGTAACCATAGCCCTGCAGATATAATCCTTTGTATTGTCCACCACACTGCATGCATGTGGCCAATTATCATAAATTACTACTCAAGACACAGCCAATTGACCACCATTCGCTTCAAATTATGCAAAACAGTAAAAGAAGCTTTACTTTCTCTTGTGCCTGGCTTTCAAGAAGCTTTTCTCACAATAATTTGCAGCTTGATGAAGATGAGAACACAAACCCTTCAGTTCCTGCAAATTAATGAGACCATTATGCATGTTATGAATGTCGTATTTCCAAAGTACACATACTACATTGGGGGGGTACTTACTCTCAGAGATTGTTCAAATTCTGACCCATCATCAGTTTCAGCTTCCTCTCGTTCTTTTATAATCCCTGAAGTACTTGGTTCCTGCTGTTGCATTTTCTTAATAGCCAAATTCAATGATGTTTTTTTGGTGGAGATGGAACTGCGGATCTAAGAATGTCACATTGAAGAATACTATGCTAGAGTGTATCCATGCAACCATACATTGGAGATAACTGCACAAAACCATCCAAAAGTAAATTGTCCCTTTAAATAATTACTCATAAACAGTTCTGTAATTCAACAGACAGTTTTTCTTTTCTTTTTTAATCTTATTGTGGAACACTTGAAATTATAGGGGGAGATTCTCGAAGTAGTCATGGGTCATGGCAGATTCAATGAGGACAAAGAGAGGTTGGCAGCCCCCGTGATCCTTTTTTTTCTTTTTATATAGATGTATTTCGTCCTTTTCTCTTTTGAGTAAAAAGTGTGCATTATATACTGCTGACAGAGAATAGACAGATCAACACCATGGCACGGTAGAAATGACATTGGAAAATCATGCAAATGTGGTAAAAATTGCAGGATTTATCCATCTCTAATGGAGTTCTTGTTATCACAGAGCAAAGAGAGCAAAATATCTCCAGGATACCAAATCTGATAGAGCTCAAACAATGGTGCACTTGCGTAGAAAAGTTTCTGCATGTTAGGAATTTGAATGTCAACTTCACCAACTACACAGAAGCACCCCCAACCTCCCACTTGGATTCCACCGTAAAAATTCCTGTATGGAAATCTAACCTGCTACTATTGCAAAATTCTAAGCTGCCTATCTATGAATATCAGTGTAGGGGGATCACATTACAACTTCCAACTATCGACATTATATTTGAAAATCAATAGTCCAGCCACCAAAATTTTCTGCATCCTCCAAATCCGGAAGGATGGAATCACTATCAGATATTAATGATGATGACAGAATGTTCTTAAGTTTCTTGTATGTTTCCGGAGGTGCCTGTTTACCGTGATCATGGTTACCATGTAAACAAGTTGTCAAGATTCTTCCATTGCTCGAGCTTGTCCGTTTTTTCCTATTGCCAAGGTCATGGACATCTGGTAGAAGGAAGCAGGATGAAGACAGTGAGAACAGAAAATTGGACGGTAAACAGTCATGTATGAGTTTTTAACAATGAATATCCCCAACATGAAGAGAGTATACAAAACTGCGAAAAACAATTATATACGGCTTAGGGGAAATGCAACGATGCTGCGCACTACTAAAATGCAAAGTAAGCACTATAATATAACTGTGACAGCCTGATTAAACCCTCACTTGAAGCATTTCACTTGCAGTTGTGAACATCATTCGCTCAGTTTAGCAATTACCGTTGTGTATGATTGAAGATGTCAGGCCGGTTGCACGTGAGGCGGCCCGTGTAATACACAGCCATGTTCTCTCCCCGTAAGACTGGAATTCTGAATCTTCTGATTCAATTGGGACATGCCAATGGCCTTTCTCCGATTCCTGTCGATGCAGAGCTAACGGTCAGTGGAGTGCATATGATTCCCATAATAAACGAAATTCAGGTCTAGCACGATGCTTATGATCCGGGAAAATAAATCAAGTAAAAGGTTGACAAAGTATAACCTGAATTACAACTGAACATGGAGGTGGCATGTGAAAAACTGGACCTGTTTCAGCGAAGCTGAAACGAACCTTCAGTTGAAAAAGAAAACAAAACACAAAACTTATTAGTGCAATTCTGCGTAACATTCCGAGTATGAAGAGAACTAGTCTTCTGTGGAACTTTAAAACATTCTTTTGACATTCAAATGAACCTAGAAGATATTAAATCACAAAAAGGATCACTGAATTGCTTTTGTTCCAGTCTGCTTGCAATTTAACATGCCGTGACTCTTCTACAGAGGATACCGATGGAGATAAGCAGACCATTTTTATCAAACTCTTCCCAAATAAAGTCCTGTTAAAAGATAGCATGAATGCGTTCACTAAATACTACTAATGGTACTTGCCTGATGCCTTTCTTTCCATTTAGGAAAGAAATCCTTTCCCAAAAGCTGAAACAAGTGATCCCTCATCTCGTCATTGGTGACAATTAGACATTTGAACTTTATAGCTGCATATAACCAGTACCTAAAGGAACACGTATTCCATGGAAATTTAAGCACTTCACATTTTTAATTACAATACTCAAGGGAGCCAATAAGGTGTTAAATAATACCAATCCCAGTGCTCACCAGTCATCATTAGATCCAGTAGGTGTTGCATACAGTGCATCTGCATTTCTCCACCTCTCAATGATTGCTTTATTCACCGGTTCATTCATCTTCTGATCTCCATTAATACGCCTATTATGCAAAATAATGAGTGGCCATCTCTTGGATGGTAGCATTTGACGAATCCCATTCACAACTGCATTAACCTAAAGTCAACAACATTAGAACAGGAAGAGAGAAAGTTAACAAACTCACAAATTTGAACAACTAATGTACATCTACATGGTTAAAACACCTTGCCTTGGATGGTTTGAAGCTTCTTTGACTGTAGAGGCCTATATTTGCTGCATCCACAATTGCTTCAAATGGTCCATAATAATCAAGCCATTTCTGCAAAGTTATATCGTTAGTTTTAACTGAACTGGATCTTTTATACATCTAGTATGAATAATCAAGATGCAAGGGTATAACATACTTGAAACTTTTCAAAGTGTGAAGTTTTCTCTCTCTGTAAAGCCAAGGAAGCCACAGATTTGGCAAAATTTTCTGTCTCTGCAGGATCAAGATCGATTGTGGCTAATTTTTCTCCACAGCATCTGCAGAAACCATCAGATCCTACAGAGGTACGGGAGACACTCCATTTTCCCATGCCTAACCAGCCCTGTCCATGCCAACCTCCTCCTCCGTTTGTAATTGCTTCCGTTATCATTTTTTGACTCCATTTCTTTTTCCCTACTTTGGAAGCTACATTGCTTCTGAACCACTTCTCGATCACATCTGCAGTAGAAGGAGTGACCTGCCTCACATTTGTTCTCAATTTATGCAACAAATAGTAGACTTTATCACTCCTCCCAGCTTCTACACTTACTCTTAAAAGTGCCTCCAGCTCAGGCTCTTCCGGAGAGATACTTTGCTCCAGCATATGCTGTTCAACAAGAAACGCTTTCTCAACATCTCCACTATCGCAAAAAACAGACAAAGCAGGGCCATAAGAGCGTAGTCGAGGAGTTATTCCTAACTCTTTCATCTGCTTTACAATTTCAAAGGCCATGTCACCATCACCTTGTGACATCGCCATTCTAGCTACAGATGTGAATGTTGCTTCATTCATGGGGACCTTTTCCAGCAGCATATTCTCATAGATTTCAAAACCCCTTTTGAGGGCATAATTCTTGATATCCTCACTGACTTCGATTCCTGAATCTCCTTGCTCCCCTTCGACACCTGATATGCTTTTACGATCCGCATTGGACTTCAACAACAGAACTATCTCATCCAGAGTTTCAGGATAAGGTTCCGCAAGTCCATTGTTTACAGTTTTTGAATCATTCTTAACTTCTTCTGGAAAACCATTAAATTTCAAATCCTCTTTATCAGACCTTTCTGCAAGAAAGTTACTATCAAACATACTTGTGTCAAAATTTTCATTTTTTGGTTGCTCAATTAGACTGTCAGAGTCGTCAAAAGATGCATCCTTGGAGAAACCAGGAGGAGTCAATTTCCTATTTCTGCTTCCACTTTTTGCGGGCTGCAGAACGCCACCAGCAGCAGAAGAACAAAGATAGAGAAGTACAGCATAATGGTACTGCCCTAACTTCAGTTCTTCTTTCCTAGCCAAATCATAAAGCTTAATTGCAGCGGTGACATCCCCAGTTTTGGAACACATGTCTAGCCCAACCCTCAGTGTATTTTCTGGGGATTCATCCTTAATTTTCCTAGACCTTCTTCCCCCCCTCTCAAGATGATTGACATCCCCCATGTCTGAGCACTTTTCCCCACCAGCCTTTTGACTATCCTGACTTTTCTTACCAGAACTTCTCCCTCTTCCTCCATCCTTGGACCTCATAGAAGAAAATTGAGAACCCATTTCTCTTCTGTTTTCAGAATTCGTTCTAGTCCTCGCATGTCTATCCTTAAGCACAACCCTTCTCTCACCATTATCCTCTACAACAGAACTTTGGCCTCTTCTTCTGTGGGTAGAACTGGAAGAAGAAGAAGACCCTGAACTATTTTGCTCTCTAGCTTTATATTTGACAGTATTGGTTGAGACATTCCGGTGCTTATCACCAGGCAATTTCGCTTCTAAGGGAGTAGCAATTTGAGCTCTGACTCGAAGAAACAGTGATAACTTTGGACTGCATGCGTGTCTACTAGAAGAAGAAGAAGATAGACTAAACGAGTGGTGGAAATTGAACGGGTTTACAGTTGAATAGCACTTACAGTGAATGAAAGATGAGAACCGGAGCTGAGCTTCTTGCAACGGCTTGAAGGCGAAGGAGGCCATATCTGGCCGTTAAAGAAAGCTATGCTGCTGCATCAATGTCAGACTTCTCAAGTGAGGGCTTTCAGTTTTTTCTTTGATACGGGAAATGCTTCTCTGGTTTCAGTGTTTGAAGACTACTTTCACAGTATATCAGCAAACTCCAAATGACATTGCTACCCTTCCATTTCCTGGCTCAGTTTATCGTTTTTCATTGCCAGTTAGAATTATGGCCAACTTTCCTCATGTTGAGTAGCAGAAGGACGAGGCAACGAATAAGATTCGATTAATGTCATCATTTGGCTGGCCTCTAGGTGATGGCTTCCTTTCTATTCCTTTCATCCCAAAATTATTGTCAAGTTTGAATTTTCATTTTTAGTTCAAATTATAGCGAACATAACCATCCAAACTAGTCAATAATTTTAAAACATAGAGAATAGTTAATATGTTTGTGGCAAATGATCAATAAAAACTTCGTGCGGATTCATGATTTCATCACAACGTTGTCAAATACATTGCTGCATCAATATACATTGCAAATAGATAGTTTCTCTTTTGAATCTGCCATTGGAGTAATACATGATATTTGAACCAAAATTCTTTGAAAGATCTTCGGTGTAAACCAGGAAGATTACAGAAGCAAAGAAGTTTCAAAAACTGACAAAATGTATGTTATTTTGCAAATTTTTAGTTGACGTGCTTCAGATCAGCTTAAGATCGCAGGGTGGCCTATATCCTATCCAAATGGTAAAATTGCCTCCAAATAATGAAATCTGGCCATGCTTGTCATAAAGGCATTGAGATACCTGTAAACCAGACAAAAGGAAGGTGGTTATTTCAGAGGTTAGAAGCTGGAACAGATTACGGAATAGCATGCAGCTAGTTCTCACTTTTACTAAAAGCGGGGCGAATGATCAACTTTTAAAATGTATTTCGATATATACAGCAAGAGATGGAGTTTCATTCAAAAGGGATGAGGCAGGGAGCTATCGACATATTCCAGACACACTCTCGCATCTCGAAAACATTAACAAGCACAAATTCAAAGAACAGAGGAAATTGATTTACGCAAACCAACATCTGGGACAAAAAAAAATTTATGCCAGCACTCCATAAATGATCACCAAACCTAAGTATATGCACCAAATGTAATGAATAAGTTCAGACTACCAATACCAGAACAATTCCTTACAAACCTCTTCTTACAAGACCAACAAGTTTAGATTCGATTACATTGTGTCCCATAATCTACTAACCACTGAACAATAAACCAATCTTCGATTGAAAAGTGCATGCTAAAGACACAGATTATTCCATTGCAGATTCAGTGAAACAAAAAGAGGTGACAGACTATGCAGGCCGACACACTTAAACATTTGAACTTCAGAGGGAAGAAGTCCAGGCTATTGGCAGCTCCACTTGAAGTCAGGCTAAAGTGTAACCAGAATGGAAGAACCAAGAAAGTAACAAGCAACGAATCGACCTATAATATATGAGATCCCGCTCCGGACAAAATATTCTACATACTTCATGTATCCCTCATTACTGCACAGAGAATCACCACAAGGCCCTAATCAGATTTCAAAAAACACAGAGAATACAGGAGTATAAATCTAATCCAACATCTACCTTCAGGAAGTTGTCTAGTCCTAGAGTTAAAAAACCATTCATCGTCGACAAAACAGGCACAAACAAGCAGAATATCTAGTTTATTCTAGGTCAAAGAAAAAGAACCCATGTCGCAGATAATTTCCTCCAAGTTTATGCAATATACGGCGACAAGAATGCAACAATTGTTGGTTTATTTGAGCATGTACACAAAGTCAAGAATGCAATAATTGTTGGTTTATTTGAGCACGTACACAAAGTAGACTGGCATCATTGGAATGTAAACAAAACAACTCAAATCCTTCAAATTGGAGAAGAGAGAATGGCCAAAAGTGACAACAAGATACCATTCACACTATTCTTCCACATAAAACCCAACAGCTCTACAAGAACACGAAGAAAGTAACTACTTCGTCTTATTTTTCAGAAATTTATGCACCAAGTTAAATCGAAACATAATAACAACAGGGGAAATGATTAAAGGAAAGAAAGGAAACAAAAAACAGTACCGAATCAGAACAAGAATTTCAATTTTAGGGGGGGATTTCAGGCACACCTTGAGGAACTAATCCCCAAGCCTGGGACTCGAGGGACAAGCCGGAACTCAACCGAGCCGAAGCAATCGCACTGTGCAACGGCAGCATTGTTTGCACGCCGCCCAACTCCACCGGTAACCTAAACAACCCATTTCCAAACATAATAAGAAAATTCCATTTAATTGAAAACGTTAATGAAGATTGAAAATGTGGAACCAAAAGAAGATTTTTAACCTTGAAATCCAGGAAGCACGCTTTGGGGTGGAGGTTGATTTGAAGATAGAGGCTGGGATTGATGCACTTCCGGTGCTGCTAGATTTGAGAACCCTAGGTTGTAATCGAGATGATATTCTGGTGAGAACTCTGGTACTGGAAAACGCCATTGCAGCAGAAAACGAAGAATGCTTTTTCGGTGTCTTAAGGCAGAAGCAGCAGATGAGAGTTTACAAGGGTTTTGGATTGACCGAGTGTCTATCCCTGACGACGTCGTGTTGGTCTTTGAGGCCTTTTGGATGTTTATTTCCCCAACTCTGTTTTTTATAATCCCTCCCTCCCATAATTATTGTCCAGTTTGGATTTTTATTTTTAGTTCAAATTATACTAAAAGTAAAATCTCAAACTGAACAATAATTTTGGGACAGAGAAAGTATTAAAAAAGAGTTACAACCAAGTGAAAAATATTTCTTTATTAGTTACTATGTGTTATTTCTTTTTTCATGATCAATGGGAAGCGAAAAAGTCTAACAATGTATTACATACGTAATGCTCATTTTGACGAGGTTTTCGACAAATAATCTCGAACAAACGATCCTTCTTTGTGTCGGTAGGTGGTGGGAACAAAAATGGTCTACATCTCACTAGTTAATTTATATCCTCTCGGTTTCTAAAAATAGTTTTGCCTCCTTATTTTATACTACTTCTCTCTGTTACCAAAATTATTATCTTCTTATTTGAAATTTTACTCTTATTATTAATATATAATTTATACTAAAAATAAAATATCAAATCAGACAATCATTTCGAGACAAAGAAATAATTTGTTTTATATTTGGACAATCCAATTAAGATTTAATCATTAATTTTCGATAAATCTTTAATTTTGCCCATTTTAGTAGGTATTCAACTCTAATTAGTGATGAAATTATGACAATTTTTTAGTCAGTTTTATCAAATCAGTTTTTAACTTTTATAAAAGCGGATTAATTTTTCAAAAACAACTTCTTCTTCTGTTTTTTTGTTTTTGGGAGCTAGATTATGTTCTTAGGACGAGGAACTATTACAGTGATGAAGAGTACTACGTTTTGTATTCAATTTCAAAGGAAATTGAAACGGCAAGTGAAAGATAACGTGCGTCCGTTTTTTTCCATTGACCGATAAAGCACCCCGAAGGAGGTTGGCATTTTTGCCAAAACGAACTGAAACAGGGAAAGTACCAGTCAAAGGCTCAAAGCTTCAAACCTGAAATGATGGGGAGGCTGCTATGAACCTACTCTGGTAATATTGCTGCACTTTACGTGTCAAATCACGCCAAAACTTGCTTCTCTCGTCCCAACTTTTCTCACTATTTTCGCTCCGTCTCATTTTATTAATTTACGCTTTTAATTATTGGTTTAACTGATAAAGAATTTGATATGCTTTAAAGCTTAAACCTGTTACGAGTTTGAGTTTATGGATAATAAATAAATTATTTTCTCCAACCTTTTTCTATATGGGTTCTTGACTTGACGGGAGAAGCATAGTGTGACTTTTTTAAAATAATAAAAGAAATGACATGAACGAAGGAAGTTTAGGAGAAAATGTATAACAAATAATATGGAGGGATGTTAGAAAAATACATACATGAATATGACCCTTATTTTCTCATCCACCAAACACTCACTTGTCTCCTTCCTTGCACATGATGCAAATCAAAACCCAACTAAATTCTCGACTCATAAACCACTCAATTTCGCCCGTGATTCACATTTGTAATACATTTCCTTCTTAACTTCTAAACCGACCAACCTCCCTTATTAAGCTCTAATTTTTATGGGTGATACTTTTTCATTTTTACTTCTAAATGGACATAGAAACTATAACAAAAATTATAAACAAGATATTATGTCACACAATCAAATTTGTGTATGGTAGGTAGGTCGAATAACAAAAATTGTTAATTGTATTTGTTTGTTTAGATTAGTATAATAATGAATTAATTAATCTTTAATAAATGCCATGGACGGCATTCTTTTGAAAGCTTTTTCCAAAACAAAAATTTTGTTTCAATGTCATTATTATAGTGGTGTCACCAGTGGACCCAGTTCCGGCCACACTCACCTACCGGAGAACCGGTCACCGTGGTTATCCATCCTCCCTTGAAATCTCTATCAATACCATTCAAGACCCTCTTTAAATTTACTACTACTACTACTACTACTACTTCCACGTTGAAATTTAAAAAGCCCTTCACGCTTTATAAAAAGGACAAAACTTTCCTAACACTGAAAATCAAATAAATAAAGCCATGAATTTTAGTATCTATATATAGGATTGTCTAAGAAGAAAGTATCATCTTTGACTTTTTTGGTAGTGCTTGCAAAGTTCAGAACAGCAATTCTTTTTTTCCCTTCATTTTGTCCAACAACCCCGTTTCTTTCTTCTCTGCGAGGAGTGATTATCCAGCTTCCAAAAAAAAATGGCCGGAGTTACGATGGAGGTTGGCAACGACGGCGTTGCAATCATCTCCATCTATAATCCTCCCGTCAACTCCCTCGCCATCCCAAGTAATCTCAATTTAACGTTTTTCTTTTACTGGATTGAATTGTCTGATTGATATTTTCTTCTTCTTTTTTTTTTTTCTAATTGGGATTTAATTTGAAAGATGTTTTTGTGTCTGTTCTGAATTTCAGTTCTTAATGGAATCAATCAGAAGTTTAACGAGGCGGTGAAGAGAGATGATGTTAAAGCAGTTGTTATCTTTGGTAAGTTGAATGTTCCCAGTTTTCTTCTCTTGTCTTTTCAACTTTTGTTTAGTGTGTTTTACTCTTTGCTGATTGTCAAGTTCGTGATTCACTGGGTGTCTGTTCGTTTGGGAAAGTATGATCCATTTGCACAATGAGTTGTCGAGTATTTCGTTTTCTTAAGAAAAGAAGCACACCTTATTGGCGGATGAATAATCATGATAACCAAAGTGATGAGTTGAAAAAAGAGCATGAGAGCTTGAGAAAAGTTCTTGTAAGTTTCAATTTGTGGGTGTTAACTATTAATCTAGGTGTGGAGTGGACAAATATGCGGATGATTTGGAAGCCGTAATTCGTTCTAACTTGGAGGTCTGTGTTATTTAACACCTTAATCACCATTGTTGTGTGATTAGGGATGATTTAATTCAATTTTATTCTTTATTTGTATTCAAGGCATATTCTGCTTCCAGTTTCCCTGTTGCTCGGTCATCTGTGATACTTTGCAGTATCTTCTTGTGTGTTATCCGAGATCACTTGGTTTAAAATCTGGCTGATTACTCTTCTTGGCATGTTGTGAAAAGGCAAGGGAGGGAAGTTTTCTGGTGGCTTTGACATCAACGTCTTTGGCCGAGTCCACCAAACTGGTATGGTACTTGTTTTTTCTGTCGTGGTTTAGGATTTTTAATCTGATGGCTGATTATAGAAATGGTATTGCAGGAGATGTTTCCCTTTTACCAAATGCTATTGATCTATTGGTCAATACTATTGGAGGTTCGTGCATGTTTAGTTTTATACTTCCATAATTTCAAGTATTAATTAAATATGTTGTTTTTCTTCCTTTGATACATTCAATGTTTGAAATTACCTTGGCTTGTAATGATGAACTTAGATTCGAAAAAGCCTGCTGTTGCTGCTATCGAAGGACTTGCCCTTGGGGGTGGCTTAGAACTAGCAATGGTATGCACCTACCTCAGATGATCGAGTTTTTTGCTCTTCAAGCAATTTAGGATTGATAAATTTGTTTGTTATCTTGACTTTGTGCAGGCATGTCATGCACGAGTTGCAGTACCAAAGGCACAACTTGGGTTGCCAGAACTAACTCTTGGAATTATTCCTGGCTTTGGAGGTTTGGTTCAATTTCAGATTTGCCAACCTGATATTTAAAAATGACAATAGTGAAGACATCAAAAATTCTGACTTGCAATTTGTGATTCCTTTAAAGGCACACAACTTCTTCCAAGACTTGTTGGTCTTCCAAAGGCTATCGATATGATGCTGGTTAGTTCCATTTCCCTTTCACTTAAAACATTTTAGCTTTACCACAAGTTAAGGAGAAACTGTTTGGGTAGAACAACAAATTTACTATTTTGGAAAAGGTAGTTTATGTTTTGATTTCTCTCTGGCAGTTATCGAAGTCAATACAGTCAGAAGAAGGGAAGAAGCTTGGTCTTATTGATGAGATTGCAAGTTCCAGTGAACTGTTAAATGTATCACGGCGTTGGGCCTTAGACATTGCAGAACGGCGCAAACCTTGGCTGCGCACACTTCACAGGACAGATAAATTAGGTTCCCTTTCGGAAGCGCGCAATGTACTCAAGATGGCTAGGCAACAAGCCAAAAAGGTTGCTCCAAACATGCCTCAACACCAAGCATGTCTCGATGCCATAGAAGAAGGTGTTGTTCATGGAGCTTATAGTGGTGTTTTGAAGGTACTTTGTTGTGCTTTATGAACGAGGCAGTCTCTGAATAAGATTCTCAAAGGGATTGTTTACTCTAAAATTTATGGCACGAATAGCTTGCATTATTTCTTTGAGAACACATTCAATTTACTTTTTCTAAATGTTCAAGTTTGTTTGTTATTGTCTTCTAGCTGTTGAGAGAAGTAATCTTTGTGCTTTTACTTGTGTATTTAGTAAACTGGACTTATTATTCGATGCTTGTTCATGTCGCTAAGTTCGACTAAGATAAGATTAAAATATGGGAATGATGTCAGGATTTGAACTATTCTCCATGAATTAAGATTAAAATGGGGAAAAAAAATTACCTGGCCACCTTCGTTGTTGAGTCCTAGTTGATGTGTTAGGTCAATGGTTCTTACCCCATTGTTTTTTCTTACTATTGCAGGAGACAAAAGTGTTCAACGAGCTGGTTTTGTCGGACACTTCAAAAGGTCTCGTCCACATTTTCTTTGCTCAACGAACAACATCTAAGGTAGCCTGAATTTATGAATATTATTAATAGCTGTATTTTCATTTGCTGAAGAGAGACAATCTTAATTTTAACTCTGTAGGTCTACCTCCAGTTACTAGAATATAAATTGGTTAATACACTTAGAACCAGAATTTCAATCACGTTATAAACATGTTCATTGAAGATTTTTTAACTTCCCCACCCCTTGACATCAGCCAACCCCCGCTTCTCCTTTCTATTCGCAGTCCTTCATGATTAAGGGTTTCTATCTCTCCAATGGCAGGTTCCTAATGTTACTGATGTCGGGCTTAAGCCGAGGCCAGTAAAAAAAGTTGCAGTAATTGGTGGTGGTCTCATGGGTTCTGGTATTGCTACTGCACTCATCTTGAGCAACATTGTTGTTGTTCTAAAGGAAATCAACTCAGAATATCTCCAAAAAGGAATAAAAGCAATAGAAGGTATGTACTCTTCAATCTTCATGTTAGACTTTTCAGTAACAAATGAGAGAAAGGTTCAGGGTGAAATTATTTGTTCGGGGTGGCCATAAGTGGGTTTTTAGGGAAATCAGATGTATACAAAACTTCGTATCATTAGAATAAGATTCTTACAGCTGAAAGGATTGACAATACAGGAAATCTGCGAGGTTTGGTGTCAAGAAAGAAGTTGGCTGCTGATAAAGCAGAAAAAGCCCTTTCAATGCTTAAAGGGGCGCTAGATTACTCAGAATTCAGGGATGTGGATATGGTTATAGAGGTATTGAATGTGAAATTTTTTTTTTCGTGTGAACCGCATATTTAAATGTCTGCATGCCTTTAATCTGGTTTTTCTTTTACTAACAAATTTCTTGTTCATTCTGGAAACATCTTCAAACTTTAAGATGTTTGAATTAAGTAGCTCTTTCATTTTTCTCCCAATGCAGGCAGTTATTGAAAACATATCCTTGAAGCAAAGTATATTTAGTGATATCGAGAAGGCTTGCCCTCCACATTGTATTCTGGCAACCAATACATCTACCATTGATCTTAATGTAGTTGGAGAAAGGACGAGATCTCAGGATAGAATTGTGGGGGCACATTTTTTCAGGTTAACACCTTCTACACTTGGATCTTAAACTTCATTGTTATGATGCAGAGTTGTATGCAACTTATGGTATGGTTTATGCCTTGTGGTGAATGAACTTCAATGTTTCTACACAACAGAGGGTGTATTGAACGAATTTGTTTTTCATGCTGAATCCAGCTAAAATGAGCTTTTCCATGTTCCTTGAAATTCGGAATTGTTCAATATAAAGGCTGTCAATTTATATCAGTCACAACCCTTGGTTGCCACTTCTACTAATGGGTTCTAAATTTGGTTTTTGCTTAACAGTCCAGCACATGTGATGCCTCTTTTGGAGATTGTACGAACGGAAAAGACGTCTGCTCAAGTTATTCTTGATCTTATGACAGTTGGAAAGATTATCAAAAAAGTTCCAGTCATTGTGGGAAATTGCACTGGATTTGCTGTGAATAGAGCATTCTTTCCATACACACAGGGTGCCCAATATTTGCTTCATATGGGCGTAGATCCGTTTAGAATCGATAAGCTCATTAGCAACTTTGGACTGCCTATGGGCCCATTCCAGTAATTTCCATTTAATTTTTTCTTAAAGAAATCTCTTGCGTGCATGTATTTAACCGTTCCTTCTTGTAGGGGTTTATTTGTTTTCTTCCATAGAAATATCCTATCACATGTTCTGTGTAGTGCCTATGTTGTGATCAAGGGAAAATAGGAATTAGTGTTGTTGATGCTTTTGGTATATGAATCCGGATTCTTGATACTTTAGATTTGATAGTTCTGGCTGGTCTCAACTATTTTTTCTGTAATTGATGAATTTGCATTCTTTCTGCCGTACTGTTTATTTGCTATGCCAATTTGGAGTGCCTGTGAGCAATTTGCTATTGCGTAAATTGTAAATCTGATAAGCGAAACTGCAGGCTTCAAGATGTAGCTGGATATGGGGTTGCTGTTGCTGTGAAGAAAATATTTGAATCTGCTTTTGCCGGTCGAACATTTAATTCTTCTTTGGTCGATCTTCTTATAAAGAATGGGCGGCACGGTAAATGAATACATTTTTTTCCCTCACAAGTTCTCTGTTTAAGTATAATAGAAGAATATTGTCTGAAATATTTTGAAAATTTATGCTATCCCAGGTAAAAGCAATGGGAAAGGCTACTACATCTATGAAAAGGGAAGCCAGCCAAAACCCGACCCTTCAGTTTTACCAATTATTGAGGAATCTAGAAAGCTCGCCAACGTAATGCCAGGCGGAAAGGTAACCATTTTCAATACAACTTGTAGAAGACACTATGTGTACACTTGCTCTTGTGTGGTTCACTTTATGTGTCCACATTGTTCTCCTCTTCCTTTGTTATTCGCCTTCCATTTTGGCCATTAACTTTTGTGTCGGGATCTATTGGGCAGGCTATCACTGTCAGCGATAAAGAAATTGTTGAGATGATTCTCTTCCCTGTGGTGAACGAGTCCTGTCGTGTTCTGGATGAAGGGATTGTGATTCGAGCATCCGATCTTGATGTTGCATCTGTTCTAGGGATGAGTTTCCCCTCTTACCGGTGAGTCTCTATATTAATTCGTTAGCCCCTAAATCCAAGTACTAAGCATGGCCTTTCATAATAGTAATATAACTACTTATTACCATCCTCATTATTGTGTATTATATTTGTCTGTTATTTGGGGTCGGAGAAGAATGATGAAGTTTGTGTTTGCAGTGGGGGTGTATTGTTCTGGGCAGACACAGTTGGAGCTGATTACATATATAAAAGCCTCAAGAAGTGGTCAGAATCATACGGTAACTTCTATAAGCCGTCAAAGTATTTGGAAGAGAGAGCAACGAAGGGAATCCCATTGGTAAGCATTATTCTATTTTTTAGCCATTAAGAGGAAAGCTTTAACTATGATGTCTGTGTGTGTATACAGCTCTTGTGCAAACCTCGGAATATTATGCACTTCCATTGACCTAAATCTTTTCCCATCTGTCAAATTATTTTTCATTTTTGAGGAAGCTGCTCTATGAATTGTTTTCCTGTGCTGCCGAGTTTAACTCGCTTTTGGAATGTTGTTGCAGAGTGCGCCCAAATCAATTGCTTCGGCTTCGAAGTCCCGTCTCTGAGCCAAATGAATCTGCCTGTTAAAGCTTGTTGGATGCAGTATCCATAGCCGCAAATTGCACAAAAATTTCAGCAGCTCCAACTGAATGGACAATCTATGATTTGTCAGTAGTCAAACAAGATTGTACCTCAAGAAAAAACTGTTCTTTATACCCAAGCATATTTCTACACTAATTTAATCGGAACATAAGATTCGCAAAACCTTCAGTGGCCAGGTCTATGGCTCAAGGGCATCTGTTGACGCACCTCAACTCCGTCGGTAACATAAACAATCATTTCAAAAACATAAGGTGTAATAACAATAATGGGACATTAAGGAAAATGAACTAGTGACTTCGAAATCCACGAAGGATATGCACTTTTAACGGCGGCGCCACAGTTCCCGGCACTTGTACCTACCGGAGCACTAGCCACCGTCGTTATCCTCTGTAAATTTCAAAGACCAACAGTAAATTTACTACTTCCATGGTAAACGTACAATCATCCAACACTAAAAAAAGTAGTATAACTCTCTGCCTAACGCTGAATTGACCCAATTCATTTCCATAATTTTATCTGATAAATGTATTCCCTCCGGTCTTTATTATAAGGTATTTTGATTTCGTACTAGGTTCATCTAGGATGTTTTTTTAATTGAAATAAAAACCTTAAAAACATTGCATAATAATTAGGAAAACACAACGATTGTAAAAAATATATTTTTAAGGTTTTTTTATCCTAAATTAAACTTAGGACGGAATCAAAATGACTTATAATAAGCACGAGAGAAAATATATGATTGCCCACAAAAAAGCATTTTTGACCTTTCTATCAGTGATCCCAGACTCTGACTCAGTGACAGAGGTCAAACAGTACGACATTTATTAGTTTCTGTGGGTGATCATAAGTGGACTATTTGCTATGTGTCTGATAGTCCACAGAATCATGGTATATTGCTGGATGAGTCGCATTAACCAGTTCTGGAGTTTTGTGATCTTCTTAATAAAAGAGGCAGTCTTTATTGGTGGATGAATGATGGATGATGCTTACTGACCTAAATGATTTGAATAGAAGGCCAAGAGGGGCTTGAGAAAGAGGAGTATTGGTGAAGTTGTATTTGTGTTGGATCTTATTTGAGGGATTAAAGTTGTTGTAAATTTACTATACTCATTGTGGGTACTAACAACTTATCAAGTTGGGAGCCAAATATGCAGATGACGGCTTTCTCGAACTATGTTTGATTCCATGGGAATATTGAACTTCAACTAATATGAACAATCATGCACCTGACTGAGGCCATTTGGATGCATTTGAGATGCAGAGATTCTGTTTTAGGAGAGCATATCCTCTGTCCGAGGCTTTTCTGTCCAGCTCTTTGTTTGGATGAAAGAACGCTCTGGGATGAAGGACGGGGTAATCGTGAATCCTGACAAAGTTCCATACGAGGAAGAGAAAGTAATCCAGAATCCGGTGTTTAGCTGGGATGACACTGGTCATGATGGAGATGCAACTTGAATATGAGGGAGGTCCCCCGATTTTTGGTTTTATTTTCGGGCCAGGAGAGGTTATGGTACTGTTAATCATACAAAGCCTGGTGAGTTGTTTTCATTTTCCTCTGATTGATTGATTCTGCCGTTTTATTTATTATTGTTTTAGCACATGAATTCCATTTCCCATAAAGTTTGTAAACAAGGGAAATATGCTTAATACTATTTCAACCATTAGAATATCATCATCATTAATAATCATCATCATTAATAAGTGTCTCCCCGGGGAAAATGAGAAGGTTGGGCTTCCCAGCATACAAGTTGGTGTTACTTGGTTTCACCTTGTCTGGGAGCAGTATCGAATTATTAATCATGTCTGACACATTTAAATGACCCTAGCAATTCTGTCTATCCAGGATTTGTGCCCTACATTACCGCGCTCGATTCTCACATAATTGCCACCGTGACTGGTGGTGATGAATGGAGCTGCACATCGGCTTTGTCTGATTTGAAGGGGAAGGTAGTTTATGCTAATATTTCCTTGACATTGTTTCTTTGGATGGTCTCCCTGGGATTTGTCATCTTAATTCCCAGGATGTGGATATTGCTTGTGTTCTTATGCCTACGTTCCTGAAAGATTGATTATCTATCTTGTGTATGCTAGTGCTATCGATGGTCACAGCAGCACGGTAAAAGAGTTCCGGCTGCAAAGGCAGCAGAATTAATGGCCGAGACACTGGCTTCTCACTGTGATGGAGTGGGACTTCTCGCTGGGTGGGAATATGGGTGGGACAGTGACTATGAACTGGTATTTGATACTATTCTGGTTTGGATGATGAGTATTATCTTGGTTTAGCCTCCTATGAATCATGGTTTATTGGTTTCTTTCTTTGTGTAGGGTCCTCACTTGTATCACATCGACAGTCTGGGTATACTGATTAAAGGGAAAAAATTGGCTGCTGGATCTGGAGTTCGAATAGCATATTGTGCCTCGAAAGTGGAGGATATGATTGATATAAAAAGGTGGATGCTCGCAGAGAATCCTATGATTCACTTTCCGGCGTTTCCATTTGACGAGTAGGCTCCTTTTTCATCCTGTTCCTGCTTCTTGTTTACCCTGTGATTTGTTGAGTAATAGTTTTCTCACTTTTTAGTCATCATCATTGATTTATTTTGTAGAAAATATAAGGACTGGACTATTTGGTCTGTAAATGAAGCTGCCTGGTTTGCTGGAAGAGTGACAGCCTTTGCTGCAACTGGCCCCGAAAGTCGCGAAGTTGGTGGTTTCTTGAGTGGTATGCTTGTTGTCCCCTGTTGCTCTCTTACAATGTTTTGTGTCAAGCTTGAGATTTGCAATTCAATCTGGGATATGTTGGATTTTCCTTTTGAAGTTGAAGTAGTTTTGGGGGAATGCCTGCTGATAAGAGAGTTAGAGATGATAATACACTTTAGTTTAAATGCTCATTATGTAGTTGGTGTACTGTTTGCTTATCAGAGAATCAGAAATGACTAGTAGGATTGAACGCGCCAAGCTCGGGATCGTTGTCAGAAATTGGAAGTAACGATAGAGGGAGTCTTTTGAGATTAGTTTGATAAATGAAGTTAAATTGACATAATTTTTCATTGACCTGATGATGTAAGGCGTAAGCAGATAATTTTAATAGATTTATATTCCTCGTACGAGTGAGGTTCCCAGGTAAACGCTCTGGAGTCGGTTTATTTTCTTTTTATGGTTTGCAACAACTCCGGAAGTCTTGAGTTTATCTGCCAACGGAGATACTGCCAAATAATTCTACTTGAGACTCTTCACGAAACATGAGATCTCCATCCAACTCTAAATGAGCCTTAAACTGGGATCAACTGTTAATCCTCAGCAGTTGAAAGGTATAAATCAACCTTGTAACAATTTGAAGGGACAGCCTGTACCAATAGATGTATAACTTACAACCGCATTACTCAAATATGTATTACTCAGCTGGAACATGTCAGGATTATGATATTCTTCCTTGCTGTTAGATGATCTTTGTGCAGCTGCCTTTTCCAAATCCCCATTGTGGTAAATCCATGTGCTTGCTTGTTTTCAGTGAATCTGATTAATCAAGCTGGGATGTCTTCGTTTCCTTTTTTTTTTTTTTTTGTGTCTCAGGGGATTTGTTGTGGTAGATAAGTGATTTCAAACATGTCATTGCTATGTCCTTGGCTGAAAATTCTAGAAGCTGACACCAGATTACGACTTTCAATGTATTAAGAAAGGGAACAACTACTGAGCCAGCCTATATATAAGCTGCTATCTACGCCTGGCTATATGGATAAAATCTTGTCTATCATTAGCTAAAAGAATTGTTAAATTGACTCTTCCATTACAATGGACAATTATGAATTCACAATAACCAAACCAAAGGACGCAAATCTCACCATTTCGGCTCACGAACGCTCAATTCATGGTCGCCTAGACATCCAACACTTGAATATGGACACAAAGATTTGCAAGTATAGAACTTTCTCATAAAGTCAGAAAGCACAAACTAAGAAGCAATTATGAATTCACTCCTATTCTAGAACTCATATAGGTCTACAATGTTCAAAGTCGAATTGCAGAGACCCTATGTAATCCATAAAAAAACACACAAATCGCGGTCGTGTATTTCACCAAATGGTGCTCGCAAGCCGATACAAGAGGCACAACCCGGAAGTCTCTGCAAATTCTTCAACTACTATATGTCAGCAAAGACCGTCTTCACACCAGTAGGTCCGACACGGTACACTTGAAAAAAACAAAACAACAAAGAAATGCTCACCATCAGAGAGAAGGAAGGGGTATAGATGAATCCACTAATCTTCAGGTACAAGCTAGCATGAAGAAAGCAACAGGATTACAGGAGAGAAGAAATAAACCTACCAGTCACATAACGATCGCCAGCAGGACTACAAGCGGCCGCACACATAGCTCTCTTAGCCCACCATGCAGCTTCATCACCAGACCACGTAGACCAGTCTGAATATTTTCTATGGGAACAAAAACACAAAATCATCAATATCATTAACTAAAAAAGTCACAGGACCATTACTTTAGCAAACAATAATAGCATAAAAAAGAAAACAGCTAGAGACAAAAGGAAATGTACGCGTCATATGGAAAGTTGGGGTTCGGACAAATGTTGGCAGGGGCAGAGCTCCTCCCATGAGTCCCGGCAGTCAGGTTCCCCAAATCCAGAAGAGCATACAGAGAAACAACATTGGATCCAGCAACCAGTTTTGTTCCCCACTTTAACCAGTACCTTATTATGATCAACACGGTACAGCTCAGGATTCTACACGAATAAATAAAGAAACTGTTAAGCAGGGATGCATAAGAGTAAGAGGGCTGAACCATGATACTCGCAACAAAGCCTAAACGAAGAAAGAGAAATCAGTATACATTTATGGAGTCCAACCCCACGACCAGTGCGACTTCCCGTCGAGAATACAGAATCTTGCCCATCAACTCCGCTGCCTTTGAGACAAAAATCTTTCTCCCATTATGCTTTTCCCATTCCGCGCACTAGCATACACAAGGGTGGAAAACCAATATTATAGCAGAGCATAGAATAACACCAAAGTAAGGCAGTCAAACAATCCATGCCTTCACAAAAGAAAATACAGGTGAATCAGACCATAATAATAATAAAACAAACGCACCCCCCTTTTGGAGTGATGATCAACTGCTGCTACCATAATCTCTCCTTTTCCGAAAACAAAAGCAAACGTCGGGGTCCCCCCCCTCATCCTCACAATAGCAAGTGTTGTCTCCCCCGTTCAGCTCTCACCATCTGTTGATTTTGGGTTTCGCCGCCCAAACGGCGACCAGAATCAGGTGGGTTTTGGCGATCAGGAAGACAATCAACAGAAGCATCACTGGGTTTTCCTCCACAGACAACGGAATCAGGATCAAAGCTACTGCTGTTCCATCGATGTTTGGTCAGGTGAATTCATTTGCAGACGCTCTGACAGAGGAGAGAAGAATCCAATTCATTTTGGAACTAAAAAAGTCATCGGTAATCATTTTGCGGCGTGAACCGAACGCTGATTCTGAGGAGGAAGGACGAATTCTTTATTATCCTCAGCCTCGGGGTGAAATTCCTGTGTTCTATGGGAATAATCGCGGTTGAGGAATTGCGATAAGGCGTTGAAGTAAATTTGGAAGACAGAGGATTAAATCCCATTGGGGTAAGCATATGAATCTGCGAAAATTGTAGCCGGCAACTTGTTCAGTTCGAATCGCAACTTTGAAATCCACGAAGTATATGCTTCGGGGGCGGATTGAGAGAGGTGATTTGAAAGAGCTAGGCCGGGCATTGATGCACTGCTGTTGTTAGCTCCTAGGATATTATCTGTCTCATTTTAGTAGGCCGAGGGATTAAAATGAGATTGATGCAGAAAATTGCCCATACGTGATTACTGATTAGAAGAGGCTTCAAAGTTAAATTACTACTCCACTAGCTAATTTTCGTATCTCTTGAGTAAGCTGTTTCATATACTACTAGTAGTACATCATAATTTGTTTCAAAATACATCCGAGTAAAATTTAGGACAAATCAAAATAATTTATAATATACTCTCTCCGCCCTAAAATTATTGTCCAGTTTGAGATTTTACTTTTAGTATAATTTGAACTATAAATGAAAACTGAAACTGGACAATAATTATGGAACGGAAGGAGTAATAAAGACCGGAGGGAATATTCCAATTTCTAGCTTACACTGCATGGGTTTGATAGTCCAAACATCCAGTAAAATTTAGGCAATTTAATATTGTTAAAGATTTGTCTTTAAAAAAGAACAAAAAAAAAAAAAAAAAAACTAGCTTACACTACATGGCGACACTGGCGCCAGTAGGCCCAATTCCCGGCACTCCCACCTACCGGAGCACTGGCCACCGTCGTTATCCTCTGTAACTTTCAAATATCATCAGCAAATTTACTACTTCCATGCTAAACCTACAATCCTCCAACACTAAAAAAAACTATATAATAACTCTCTGCCTGACACTGAACATGAGCCCACTCATCTCCCCAATTTTCTCTAAATATAAATGATTGCCCAAAAGAAAGCATTTTTTGACCTTTATCAGTGATCCCACAGACACTGACAGAGGTCAAACATCACTTCTTCTTTTTTCTTCATTACTCCAAAAACCCGTTTCGTTTTTCTTTGCAAAGAGTGTTAATTTTCGAGGTTACTAAAATTCGAGCTCAAGAAATGGCGAAGCCTGCGGTTACGATGGAGGTGGGGAACGATGGTGTAGCAATCATCTCCATCTATAATCCTCCCGTCAACTCTATATCTTATCCAAGTATATCTCTAGATAACTCGTCTATTTGGTTAAATTCATCTGGTTCTTTTCTATTGTGAGATCTAATTGTGGAAAAGTGGTTTTGAATTTCACTTTCAGTTCTTGCTGGAATAAAGGAGAAGTTCGATGAGGCAGTGAAGAGAGATGATGTTAAAGCTCTAGTTGTTTTCGGTAAGTAGCCCGTTCCCGGTTTCTGTTAGTTTTTCGAATTTCGTTCCGTTGGCGAACTATTTTCTGTGTGTCTGATAGTTTAGAAAGGTATGATATATTGCTCATTGAGTCGCATTAATGAGTAGACAGTTCTGGAGTTTTTGGTGTTTTGATTAATGAAGCAGTCCTTGTTGGTGGATGAATGATTGTGTTGATTAAACTAAATAATTTGTACAGATCACCAAGAGGGCTTGAGAAATGTGGTACATCGAAGTTGCATTGGTGCTGGATCTTATTCGAGGGGTTAAGTTGTTGTAAATTGGAATGTTGTATATTAACTAGTACTCATAACTTGGGAGGTAAATATGCAGATGACTGTTTCTTCCAACTATGTTTGATTCCATGGGAATGTTGTCCTTCGACTAATACATTATCACGCGCCTGATTGAAGCCAATTGGAGACATATGACATGTAGAGATTCCGGTTTAGTATTAAGATAAAGTTATTAACAAAAAATGATTCCATGATCTACTCAAAGGGATTGTTGTAGGCTAGCAGCTTCCAGTTCTGCTGTTAGGATACTGCCATTTCCTTGATCATAAATATATATAGGGATTTTTTTGGGGGGGTTTCAAGGCTACAATTTATTTAATGTCACTAAAGCAGTCGACTTCCTTTTTCCCGTTACTCATCATTGTATGGTCGATCGTGAGTTAGTGGAGTCCTCTTTTTGTGCTTAGGAGATTGTTGGTTTATTCGTGAGTCTGATTTTCTTTGTTCTCATGTTATGAAAGGTAAAGGCGGGAAGTTTTCTGGTGGCTTTGACATTAATGTCTTCGGTAAGGCCCGCCAAACTGGTATGTGTACTTAACTTCTGCTATGGTATATGATTCGAATCTAGTGGCTACTTATAGAAATGAACTTGCAGGAGATAATTCTGTTTTGCTAAAGCCTATTGATATCTTGGTCAATACAATTGGAGGTTCGTGATCTTTATCCTTGAGCTTTCAGAACTTAACACAAAGATGTAGGCATGTTCTCTTTTTCATACATTCAAAGCTTGAAATTACTGATAACTTATCATCGTGAACTCAGATTCGAAAAAGCCTGCTGTTGCTGCTATAGGAGGACTTGCCCTTGGGGGTGGCTTAGAATTAGCAATGGTAAGCAGTTACCGTAGATGATTGAGTTGTTCTCTTTGACAATCTGAGGATCATTTAATGTCGATATTATCCATGTACAGGCATGTCACGCACGAGTTGCAGTACCAAAGGCCCAACTTGGTTTACCAGAACTAACTCTCGGAATCATTCCCGGCTTAGGAGGTTTGGTTTAATTTCAGATTTCCCAGCATGATACTTATGAACAATGACGATGTCTTCACCAAAACCACTAACATGTTATTTGTGCTTAATTTAAGGCACACAACATCTTCCAAGGCTTATTGGACTTCCAAAAGCTATTGAAATGATGCTGGTTAGTTCCACTTCTGAGTTTTTGGAGGAACAAGAATAAGCGAAATTATGTTAATGTAATTCTAGCACTGCCACAAAAGTTAAGAAGAATTCATCAGGCGGAACTATTTATTGTGGAAATGATTGTTTATGGATGTGATTTTCTCTGGCAGTCATCAAAGTCAATACTGTCGGAGGAAGGGAAAAGCCTAGGCCTTATTGATGAGATTGCAACTTCCAATGAATTGTTAAATGTATCCCGGCTTTGGGCCCTAGATATTGCCGCACGGTGCAAACCTTGGCTGCATACACTTCACAGGACAGATAAAATAGGTTCCTTTTCTGAAGCACGCAAAGTACTTGAAATGGCTAGGCAGCAAGCCAAAAAGGTTGCTCCAAACATGCCACAACACCAGGCATGTCTTGATGCCATAGAAGATGGTGTTATTCATGGGGCTTATAGTGGTCTTTTGAAGGTAGGTTTACTTGTGGTGCCTTTTGAACTTGGCAGTAGAAGCAAAGATTATCAAAAGTTTCTATGCCCCTGAAACTTACATTGCTGACATTATTTCCTTAATAGCATTTTCAATTTAGTTTTTTGAACTGTCAAAAGTTGTTTATTCTTGTCTTTTAAAAATTGATTGTCCTCCTTATCTTGAGAAAACTCGTATTTGTGCTGATTTTTGTTTCTTCGTCACGCAGCTAACTTTTGGAAAAATGAGATAATTCTCCAAAAAATAGGGATCCAAAGGGAAAAATCATTAGGCTGCATTCCTTGTTGAGTCCTAGTAGTCGAATGCTCCTGAACCCATTTCTATTTACGATTGATTGCAGGAGGCAACAGTATCCAAAGAGCTTGTAATGTCAGACACTTCAAAAGCTCTTGTTCACATTTTCTTTGCTCAGCGAGCAACCTCGAAGGTACAATGAACTAATGAAAAAGAATTGCTGCTGAATTTTGGTTGCTCAAGAGATAAAAATCAATTTCAACATCTTAGGTTGATCTGGAGCCCATTAGATAAAAGTATGTTGATACAATTGGACCAGCATTTCGTTCATGTTTTTGAATTTTTTTATTTATTCCTCCTCACCCTTGCCATTAGACCACCCTACTTTTCGTCCCCAAGTTACAGCAATTCTTGAATGATGATTTCTATCTTTCGTATGGAAGGTACCTAATGTTACCGATATTGGGCTCAAGCCGAGGCCTGTTAAAAAAGTTGCAGTAATTGGTGGTGGTCTCATGGGTTCTGGTATTGCTACAGCACTCATCCTGAGCAACACTTATGTTGTTCTCAAGGAAATAAACTCTGAATATCTCCAAAAAGGAATTAAAGCAATAGAAGGTAGCAACTTTTCAGTTTTGAGAGAATGTTTAAGGTTAAATTATTTGCTGTGGGCTTTTAGAAAATGGATGATTATAAATTCTACTGCTGCTTTAGCATGAATAATAAGGTCCTTACAGATGAAAATGTTGATGTGCAGAAAATCTGCGAGGTTTGGTGTCAAGGAAAAAATTGGCTGCGGACAAAGCAGAGAAAGCCCTTTCGATGCTTAAAGGTGTTCTAGATTATGTGGAATTCAAGGATGTAGATATGGTTATAGAGGTATTGTACTGTGAATACGAGTTTCTGATTAAGTGTAGATTTAAGTTTTCTGTATGTTTCTTGTCTGAAACTCTTCTTTTACAAATTAGTTTCTTTTGATTCTGGAAAGATCTTCGAACCTTTATATGTTCACATGAGCAGTTCTTTTGTATGTCATCTCTCATTGCAGGCAGTTATCGAGAATATCTCCTTGAAACAAAGTATATTTAGTGATATCGAGAAAGCATGCCCTCCACATTGCATTTTGGCAACCAATACATCTACCATTGATCTTAATGTAATTGGAGAAAGGACGAGTTCACAGGATAGAATTGTGGGGGCTCATTTTTTCAGGTTACTACCATCTATACCTTCACTGTATGCTTAATCTCGAATCGTGTTATAGGAGCAATCAAAAATGTGGTTCGCACCCTTTTTGGGAAGAAGAAACTTCACCTTCAACATCTCTATACAGAAGAGAATGTACTAAACATGAAAAATTGGCTAAGTACCCCAAAGTACACAATGAGGAAAGTTGTCTACTAGTTTCCATGGTGAATCGATAAACTCTTCCGTGCTCTTTTCTTTTCTTTTCTTTTTCTTTCTTTTTTTTTTTTTTGGTAGAATTCCACGCTCCTTTAAATTCTGAAGTGGTTTAACTTCAAATCTGTAAAAGTATCTCAGTAACAGCCTGATCTGCTACCTGCATTTCCTATGCATTTGTGCGAAGGGAAGTCCTAATGTTCTTCAGCAGATTCTGGAAGTTCTAATTTCTGTTCCCAGTCTATGGAACCTCTGTGCATATCAAGTATCAACTACTAATGAGTTTTTTTTTCCCTTTACAGTCCTGCACACGTGATGCCTCTTTTGGAGATTGTACGGACAGAGAAGACTTCTGCCCAAGTTATTCTTGACCTTATGACGGTTGGAAAGATTATCAAAAAAGTTCCCATCGTGGTGGGAAATTGCACTGGCTTTGCTGTGAATAGAGCATTCTTCCCATATGGTCAGGGTGCACATTATTTGCTTCATATGGGTGTGGATCCATTCAGAATTGATCGACTTATTTGCAAGTTTGGTTTGCCGATGGGTCCTTTCCAGTAATTTCCTTTTACTTTCTTCAGTCAAGAATTCCTTGCATGCATATATTGAGGCATCCTTTTTTGGAGTGATGATCTTGAGATTTATTTGTTTACTTCTGTTAGATATATCCAGCGATCAAAGGAAAATAGGAAGGAAACTGTAATTTGATCATTCTGACATATGATATTTGTGACCTACTGCTATCATATTGGAATTTATATTCTTTCTGCCATCAGTTTATTTGTGATGCCAATGTGGAGTGTCTATGAGTAATTTGCTTTTGCATAACTTTAGGCTTCAAGATGTGGCTGGATATGGTGTTGCTGTCGCTGTTAGGAAAATATATGGATCTGCTTTTCCCGGTCGAACATTTGATTCTTCTCTAGTTGATCTTCTTATAAAGAATGGACGACAAGGTAATCGAAGACATTTTTCATTTTTTTTAATAAATAATAATAATATTATTATTCTTATTATTATAGAAGGCTTTTTGAGCTATCCATGTTTGTTGAAAATATAGTAGTTTTTGGTTCTCATGAAATTCCGTGTTATTGCAGGTAAAAGTAATGGGAAAGGATACTACGTTTATGAAAAGGGAAGCAAGCCGCAACCTGACCCATCAGTTTTACCAATTATAGAGGAATCTAGAAAGCTTGCCAACGTAATGCCAGGAGGAAAGGTAGCCTAGCCAATATTGCTGTAATTTGTAGAAGACATTTACATCTAGCCTTCTTGTTGATTTCACTTGTTCCTGCACCTTACATTTTAGCCATTAACTTGCTGAAATTTATTGAGCAGCCTATCTCAGTCAGTGACAAAGAAGTTGTTGAGATGATATTCTTTCCAGTAGTGAATGAGTCTTGTCGTGTTCTGGATGAAGGGATTGTGATTCGAGCTTCTGATCTTGATGTTGCATCTGTTCTAGGGATGAGTTTTCCCTCTTACCGGTGAGTGTCTATATAGTTCAGTTTTCCGTAAATCCAAGTAATGTATATCAAAAAGCAGGGCTTTTCAGAAAAGTTAAGTTGAAATTTTAGAAACTGCACGATCAACTAGCAAAATAGTTATATAACTACTCTTCACAACCGTTTCATTGAATGTTGTTTGAGGTCCTGAAAGAATGATAAACTCTGTCTTTGCAGTGGGGGTATATTGTTCTGGGCAGATACAGTTGGAGCTGATTACATATATAAAAGTCTCAAGAAGTGGTCAGAACTATATGGTAACTTTTATAAGCCATCGGAGTATTTGGAACAGAGAGCAACAAGAGGAATCCCATTGGTATATATTATATTCCCCACCATTAACCACTGTGTTCTGTGTGTTTACTCCTCTAAATCAAGCCTCAGTAAGATTGCTCACTTCAACAGCCCTAAAGAGTTTTTCCCGCTTGTCAAAGTGTGTGTTCATTTTTGAGGAGCTGCTCTATGCTTTGATACTGTTAAAATGACCTTTGTTTACTCACTTTTGAATTCGCCTTGCAGAGTGCACCCAAATCAACTGATTCGGGATCAAAGTCCCGCCTTTAAGTACGAGAGTCTGCCTGTAGAGTTTTGGTGGGCGGCTCACTGCACAGAAAGTCCAGATTGAATATAGTCCGCATGTTTTGGTAGTGTAATAATTGTACAAAGGAAACGCAAGGTTTGGGGCGTTTTCCTCTCAATTGTTAATGACCAAAATAAACATATCCTGTTGAGCTTTTTTTGTCATTGAAAATTTGAAATGGCTGAATGATGCTTCATCTCATGCCTTCCATCTCTTTCTACCTATCTTTTCTCTAAATAAAAGGATACTTCTAAGTCATAGAACCCATGAAACTTCCTCAATCCTGCTTCAGTTTCCCTGTAAGCTTGCAACTCATCAAGCACCTGCATTTTTTTCTTCTTTTTTTGTTTGTTTGTTTAATTATTCCTTCACTTATTTTTCCCCCTCTCTTTTTGGGTAAATGGCCAACCATGCATCTTTTACTAACCATAAACATCATTTAATAATTGATTAGAGTATTGATTAAAAGGATTTGATAGTGAACTTTACTTCGAGGTTACAAAACTCTGAAGTTACATCTATTACACTAAAACGGGAAATTCAAACAATGTGCATTTCTTTATTTATATTTCTTTTTCCTTTTTTTTCCTAACGATCAATATAAAAATATTGCGGGATATCGCCCAAGACAGATTCCGGAGTGCATACAATGTACTCCAATAGATCATTTACCAATTTCATTTTCGTTTTTCACTGAAATGTCAGCAAATTTTACATTAACTGAAACCCTCAAAATTCGATTTTTTAACCTCTAAAACGAAACGAATGAAGCACTATTAACCACCCAACTAAATGATCTCACCCAATATTTTTTGCATGAAATTTGTCTTGCATTTTGGTTCCCCTTAGCTAGCCCAAGAAACCTGTGCTTAGAAATTTCTTCTTGGATGTTTGTTGTTCTGTACTTCTGTGTCATTTGGAATATAATTTTCTCTACTTAGTGCCTGTAAATTGATGGATACAAATCTTTCCATAGGCAATTGTAATTTGTACGGCTTATGATTACCATGAACTATGAGTCAAAAACTTTGGTTACATCAACAGCGTTCACTATCTGCCCAGATGCTGCCTGAAATTGCAATTGAATAGTACATTAAGAGGTTAACCCATCACTTGCGGGTTCTCCGCGTTACCGAACAAATTAACCTTGAATTATTCCAAAACTGAAACGTCAGGAGGGAAAACTTTCGATTATGTTAAAAAATTAAGAAAAGAATTATGTACTCTAGTCAGTGAAGATATTGGTGACCCCCTAAACGATTATGCTGAAGGATCAGAGCATCACTGATTGAACGTGATGTAATACATTTCATAAAAAAAAAAAATTAAAAAAAAATAGCAGAATATCCGATCCTAGTCTGAATCTTTACATGGCTTTTTCTGTTATTGGTTTTACATTCCCATTTCCAACAGAAGACGGGATTTTTGGAAGTTGTTCAATGATAGAGGGGGCGGTACCTGAGGAGGTAACCAATTGGGATGTCACTGGCGGAGGAACATTAGACTTGGCGATGCCGTTACCGGAGGGTTCTTGCTGATTCGATGGCTCCATTCTGACATTGGCATTCCCATTGCTCACAAGATCTCCTTGATTACCTGATTCACTTCGTACCAAGGACGAGCACCTTTTTCCTACAAAAATGGAGTACAAAGAGTCGAGGGAAAGAAATAAGTTTAACTGAGGAGGTGGAATGGTAGTTCCTATTAGTTGCAGCAAATGAAGAGGAGTCCTATGATAAAAACCAGTAAATGTGTTGCCTAGAGAAATGTTCCATCTCTTTGTATCATTTATATCCCTTGCCTTAATTTCATCACTATATGGTGCTCGGAAAGAAAAAATGATTCACTAAACTTGCCTTTGATTTCTCCAAATTGAATGAGGTTTTGGAGACAATCACGAAATGTTGACAAAACAATTCTCTCCTGTGCTGCTAAGGTTTCTGTTACTCCTTCCCCAGGAGGCAACTGACTAGAGATATTACCCTGATCCGCCACACCAGTTGGTGAAGCAACGCCGGCAAACATTGTATCTTGTTCATCACACATCAGTGCCAACGTTCCAGGAGACATTGGTCTCCCTTTTGTTACATCAGCACCATCCGAAGCAGATTCTTCTGGGGTGATTTTATCTGCTTCGCTTCCATTTATACCAGTAGCTTCTACAGCATTTTCAGTGGCATCACTATCCTTTTGATTATGCAAATGGTTCCCAGCTGAATCAAGGTGGTTTTCCTTGTTTTCTTCTGTTGGTCTTTCCGATGCACTTCTTTCATCTAGATTTTAATAGAAAATTAGTACTCGAAAAAGAATATGAAATCCAGAGTATAAGTGTATAACCTATACACTAGCACACAGATTTAGATGGTTCAAGTTCTCTGTTTCTTAGCATTCATCTTGATCAAAATAACAATCGTCTACGTCATGAAATCAATTTGCTGACGCAAGTTCTGGAGGGAAGAGTAAGTTCAGCCTTCATAGAAATTTTGATGACCAAGATTTTCTTTAACAAGTGACAACTACACGCTTCTACTGACTTGAAGGAGCACAACCTATATATGGCCTCAATATCGAACTGCAACACGCAGCAGGTACAGGAATTGAGCACCAGAAAGGACTCTAGGCTCATAAAATCAAGTCAAAAAAAAATAACCCATGGATAATATTTCACTATTACTCTTGAAGCTATTTTTTGCTTTTGATTAACAGAAAAAAGCAACAAGAGATCACAGACCACTGCAATTCTAGGAAAGACACTTCTACTTGGGGAATTAAACCTTTTTTTTTCGTGGTTAACTCAATTAGCATATTCTCAAACCTCTACAAACAAGAATAGACAGAGAGAAGATAGTAATGAACAATTTGAATTGCACATGTACCTGCGAGCATCTTTGCTGTCTCTGCTGCCTCTGCTGAGTATACGACCAACACTGAGCAAAGTTCCTTCAGGTCTCGTGGTTGAATGATATCCGCTAAGAGGGACCTTAGATGGGTACATTAGTTAGATTTGTTACCAATAGAGCACATAGTGTGTGTATTTTGTCAGAGCTGCTAATGATACCTGTACGTAAATTTAGATGCCCCTATTCCAGAAGGATTAGTGAGACGAGTACCAGGAATGGTAGATACAGGAGAGGGTACCGGATTCTTAACATGATTTCCCTGAAAGATGGTCCCAACACAGGATTACAGGATAAAACATCAACCAGCGGCTATCGTTTGTCAAACAAGAAAACGGTAACTGCATATCGGTTGTTCAAAACAATATTGTGTAAGCATTCAGCTCATTTCATTAGAAGAGTATCAAATGCTTACCGGCTGGTATTGTGCCATCCTGTTATGAGGATCTTTAACTATTGGCCCAAAGTAGAGATCATGGCCTTTTCTTTTCTTATTATTGACTGGAGAAGTTATATAACCAGGGTAGCCTCCTTGAATAGCACCTGATATCGCTGCATTCGTGTATGCAATACTATTGGCGTGTTCTCCTTGGAAGAGAGCCTGTCTCTCTTCACTTCCTTCATAGTTTTTGCAGTCGATGCATTTACAAAGATCGGAACAAAGAATGTTGGCCTGAAAGCATTCACAATACTTCTTAAGACACCCTGATTTCTTGCAGTGGCAACCTTTATTGTGCTTCCCAATAGCTACTCCTTCCCCCAATTCTTCCTGCAACCAGGTTGAAACATATAATGTCATAGGCAGTGAAACACAAAGGAAGTCTGCAAAATTTTTATGATAAGCAATAAATGCAAGCAGGAGTCCTATTATGGTCAACTTTTAGCAGCCAAAAGATTTGCGTTATTAAGTACTTCAAAAACCCATGTTACTTTGCATTGACTTCAAGTCACCTTCCCAAATAACAACATCATACCCAGTATATTCCCAACTTCATTGGGTTGCAGGCCAAAATGTACACGGCCTTACCCCTGTATTTCAATACAGAAAGGCTGTTTAAGTGAAATCCAAGATGTACTGATTTCCAGCAACTTCACTAAAATTAAGAAGCACAGGGAATATAATTGAGCCATTTTGATCTAGTCCATCATTACAGCAAAGCTTAAAGAATACCAATGACCTCCAGCTCCATTTTCCGTGGACATATAAATGTTTTAATCATAAAAGCTAACGCAAAAACATCAAGGCTGAAAATAAGCTCGTACCATGCAAATCTGTAACTTATTGATTAAATACACCAGTAAAGCAGCTTCTTGACTAAAAACTAAATTAGAATAGTATAACATGTTACTTGTTTGTTCATGATATGGTTCAGATTCGTGAATGGAGATGTTAGAACCTCTTTGAACCTGAACATGGTTTCTCTAACTATGATCAATCATTTCATTTGCATTCTTTCTTCATAATGAGATATCTGAGAAGTGTAAAGACACATAACTTCATTTAAGTTTCCACGTCTATGGGATTCTTCAGTAGACCATGTGAAAGAAATATGAATGCATACGGAAAAGAAATATCATACCCTATTATCCCGAGTTCCGTGTGGACTGCTTGCAATTTTTGGCCGAAAAGCATTAGGATTACGTTCCAAAGTGGTTTCTACCGCTTCACGTCTGGCAGCTTCATTTTCAACATTATTGTAACAATTTACACAGTTGCAGCCATCACAGTAGATCCCAGATGCAAAGCACTCACAATACCTGATGAACATCAAAGAACGTGCAGCATGCCATTAATAGGAAGCAAAAAGTGGATAAAGTAAATATATAATTTCTACAGGTAGTCCATAGCAAAAACTTCTCGAAGAAAAGTTTTAAAGGAAAACACAAGTGGCGGCAGTAATACATTCAAGATGAGCTCCTCAATTCTTGCATATCTATGAATATGGAAAATTATGTCCTTTAATAAGTAAGAGAATTAAAGAAACCATAATTGCAACTAATCAAAATCTTGTTTCCGAAATGACACCGAAGTCGCAGTGTGGAGGAAAATACTACATCTTCAGCTCAATGACTATCATAAACTGTGAATAATCTTGAAAGAAATCAAGCTGAATGAAATTTAATCCGTCTAATTGTCTCCTTAAGAACCTTTTAGAATCCTTCAGCTTTTCGGCAAAGTTAGATGAATTCCACAGAGTCATAAAGTGAATTGAATCGAAGTGATCCCCATGAAGATAGGAGAAGAAGTGCTACTTTTAGTTACACTAGCAGGCACTATTATCACATGATAACTTGTGATTACGCAGAAGGCTAAACTTACAACGGATTGAAAAACTCAGAAAGAAAAAAAAAAATCTCTACGGGAGTAAAGCACATAGAGTCCTAAGCAAATGCTATCCAACCCAGCCCAAAAGAAGATTTTAGATCTTAGCCAAAAGTTTGACAATGAAGATCAACAAAAGAGTTACATAAACATCTCCCTTTGAAACTCAGTAAACTGCCACCATAAAATGATTAAAGAGTAAAACCATGGTTACTGAATTCAGTTAACCCCCTTGAAGTAGACCTGGGTAAGAATACAAACAAATGAAAGTTATCTGGCTCAACTTACCTCACCATAGTCTTGATCATTATGAACTTACTAACAAAAAAACTGGAGGAATCACCTAGTTTAGACAGATGAAGAAGGCATGAGGAGCACAGCAATACTTACAACTTCAAACATTTGGAATGCTTGCAATTACACTGCTTTTGCTTCTTGGGCGTGCCATCTTTACCTTCGTTCACATTTCTTGGCCGTGGTCTAGGTGATTCGGGTTTTCTGGAAAGCAAAAGCAAGAAATCTTTTAATCCAAGAAAGGCAGATATGCAAACATGTTTCAAGCTTTCACAGCAGAGCCAATGTTGATAGCACTGGCAACTTTTCCTTCACATAGGATATACACCAGTGCAAAAACAATATAAATTCTCTTAAAAAATTGTTTTCGCTAAAAGAAGCATGGACATTCTAGAGGAAATAGAATGAAGCAGAGTCTTTGAAAAGTCCCACGCACTTTACATCCTAACGGCTTATGCATAATTGGATCCAAGAATGAAAGTCATTCATGAATCACGAGGTCCTAATAAGTGATACTATGGACAAACAACAATAAATAGGTGTAATAAACATCTTGGCTTATTAATGGTGCACATACTTGTTTAAGTTGAGAACAAAGAACACAAGTGTATTTTGCATTTCTAAAAAGATTAAAGATAATAAACTGATCAATCCAGCATCCAAAGCACAAAAATATCCCAGGATTTTTAAGTTCATTTACCAAGTTAACAGCAAAACCCGATGAAGAAAGAAACAACCAGAGTTATAATGTTATATTTAGGACTTCCTCAGCAATCAAGCACCTAAACAAGAAAGTGATACATTGTTGTAGGAACAATTATTCCTTCAGGTCTTCAGATTAGGCCCTCAATTACACAGAAATGCTCATACTTCAGCAATTTTTTTTCTGCTGTTACGATGGAAAGCATCAAGCTTCAGTAGAAATCTAAAAAATTTCACATTTCAACACAGAACAAAACAGGAATATTTTTTTTTTCAAAAAAAAATCACAACTTTATTAAATAAAATGCACTATTAAAGGAAAAATGGGCAAGAAATTACATAGGCCTGATCGAAGGATGTGCAGTTGGCGGCACTGGATGTTGTTGCACGGTCATCAACTGTATCGCAGGTTGCGCAGGAGGCTTTGGTGGCTGGCTCGGCCGAATATGTTGCGGCAGCTGTGGCCGGCTAGCCATGGAAAATGGCTGCGGCGGCTGATTCTGATGAGGATAATCCACCGGAGCCGGCACGGAGGGTGTAGCGGCTGCAGTTGCCATCACCGCTGCTGTGCTCGAAGAGGAAGAAGGAGCTGCCGGCGGCGGCGGCGGAGGCGGCGGCGCGGGTGTGACACCAGTATACCCTGCCGTAAAATCAAGCTGCCTGGCAAGCTTCTTAGGCGGAAAATCAACCGGCTGCTGTTGCTGGGCAGTCGTCTCCGATTGAGGCTTTTTTGGAGGGAAATCCCCTCCCTCACTTTGCTCCACCATTCAAACGAACGAACCCAATTTCAAAATTTCAAAAGAAAAAAAGGAAATTTCTTTCAAATCTTTTGAAAATATAAACTCGATAATTAAGAGTTTATCCCTGCTGAAAGTCTGAAATTAGACCGAGACCCACGGCCCAAAAAAAATTGAGCGCTACAGAGAATTCAAAAACCCCAAACAGAAATTCAAATTTAGGATTCCCGAAAACCCTCTTATCATACAGCTCAGATTCAAACAAATCAAAAAAAAAAAAAAAAAATCCACCAAAAAATGTCGCCTCCAATTAATTTCCCGGAAATCCACACAGATAAAACAGAAATCACGATCTTCAAAGGCTATTCGATTCGCGGGTTTAGGGTATCTAGAGGGAAACAGCGGGAGAGAGGGATTTGTGGGAGAAGAAGAAGAAGAAGAAAGGCTTTTCTTTTTTTTCTGGTTGCGCCTGTGTCTCCCTCTTCGTTTTTCAAATTTTCAATTTTGTAATAATTGAATGGCTGGATTAAATGGTCATCTCATCGGACGGTAAATAATTTGGTAATGTGATCTGACGGTTCAAATTCATAAAAAGTGTGTGAGGAAAGTGGATGACCGTACGATCCGAAAGATCCATAGCAGGTTATCCTATGTACTCGAGTCCAGAGAAGTATAAGTCGCCGGTTCGGGAATTTTGTGACACGTCATGTAACTCGCGGGTTAAGTTAGGGATCTTTTGGGCCTTGTGATTGGGTTAGACGGTAAGTTTGATTTTGTTACCGCCGAAACAGGTGATTACTGTTACGGTCAGTTTGGGCCCCACCGTTTGATTCCGCTTCGTCAAAGTGGAAAACTCAATTTGGCGCTAAAATAGAATGCGACGACGTTGACTTGAGGGTCACTTAAAAACAACAAAGGGGGGCGATCAGATGAACGGTTGAGATTGCGCCTGTAAAGCTTAAAAAAGAAAAGTAGCTCCAAGCCTCCAGACTTTCCAACAAGATAATCATTCGTGTTATAAAACTAGGTTCAAAGTAAATGTACTAAAATTTAATTAGTGATGAGAGTTATAACTTTTTTATTAGAGATTTTAATTTAATAACTTTTTAATAGTCTATATTTTATGAGATTATAAGATTTAAGAAGAAAATAAAAATAGAATAATTTTACTTTGTGAACCAAGTAGGAGGAAGAGAGATTATTCATTCGGTATAAAATTTTCATTGCTTGAGCATTCTTATTTATAGGCAGACAAAAAAATGCAGTCTTGTTTGGACAACCTTCCATTTTACCGTTTCACTCATTTTACCTTTTAAACACAAAACCTAATGGAAAAGAAAACATCATCCAAACAACTTTTTGATTTACATTTTAAATTCCAACTTGAAATACTTTTTGTTAGTGTAATGACCATTTTAGAACTATAAATAGTTCAGTGACAAATTTGGCAGGATTCCGTTATTGAGTGATTGTTTTTGGAAAAATTCTTTTTTGCAGTGACTATAATTGACAGTATTTAATTGTTTAGTGATGACTTGTACTTGATATTTCAAAATGTAGTTCAAAATCAAGATTCAAACAACATTTTTATTTTCCATTTAGTTTTCAATTTAAAACACTTTCCACTTTTAAATGGTAAAATGAAATGTACGCAGATGTCCAAATAATCACTGAAATTTTCTTCTTCTACATTTAATGTAAACATTCGATGGGTAAATATCTTTAACAATTTTTGACATTCATTTATTTCTAACAATTCGGAAATTCTTTCTTTTTCTTTTTTTCTTTTTTCGCAAACCAACCTCGTATCTTTCATACTCTTCTTTCCACTTGATTCTCTTCCAAACCCCCCCCCCCCCAAAAAAAGAAAACAAAAGTCTCTCACATAATTATAATTCATGAATGTTCGATGAGAGTAAAGTGAAGAACCAACTACTTCTTGTGTCTCAAAATTATTGTTAAGTTTTAAATTTCATTTTTAGTTTTTAAATTTCATTTTTAGTACAATTTGAACTAAAATAAAAACCCAAACTAAACAATAATTATAGGACAGAGGGAGTATATCATAACTAAACCTGTTTAATTAAACTTCAACAAGCACATTACACACACATAACTTTCTCTGAATTTAGAATAGTATCGAAACGACCGATTTGTGATTTTACATTATGCAATATTTTTGTGTTGTCCACTCTCTCTGAACTATGCATCTATCTTCTTCAATTAATCAATCTAAACTTGTTCTACAGCACATTGAGCAGAACCGTTTAGTTTCAAGTTTCAATTTCATTCGTATCTACTAATTTACCCCAAAAAAAAAAATTATAAAATTTTTTTTCACATTTCAGTTAACTTTTACACAGAGAAGAATGACTATTTACATTTGAATTAAATATTTCTATGGCCCTAAACGGGATTGGGGAAATCCAAAAACAACTTGGGAAGACAAGAGCGCTTGAACTAGTGAATATCTTCAACGGTTCAACCAAAGTACCCATTTATAAGCCTCCGCATTCAAGTAACACGAGTGAACTTGTTTCTTGAAAAAAGAAAGACCCAGGACATGCAGAAGCCAGGCTCCATTTCCTCAGGAAGCCAAGACCCAGGGACCTAATTTCAGTCGCACAAGAGAAACACTACCACAATCGGATGAAAATTCTCAAAAGAAGATAAGAAATAAAATCACAGGGAAGCATATTAACATCCATTACTATCACGAGAAGCTAAAAGGCGTGGGCCAAAAAGTACTAGGCTAAAAATCATATAGCAATAGGGTAGACTAAGAAGATTCAGGGCGCAAACATTTCCCCTCTCCTGGACCTTAGCTTTAAAAATGTTACAATTTCAGCGCAAGTATCAACCACTATCAAGTTAATATGCTGCACGTCCCATGCCACGTCGATCATCCCTCCCCCGTTCCATATACATATCTCGGCGATAATCTTTTAGGGGTGCACCACCTCTAATAGGTGATCGGCTTCTCTCTCTAATACCACGAGCCCAATGACCACGCGGGGGTGGTGCAACTGGAGGAGGTGATAATGCCCGTCTCTCATAACCTTTTCTTTCATTGAGGATGTTGTCCCTTACACGATCTCTGTGGCTCCACTCCAGTGGTGGGGGTCTTTCAAACCTACTCCTATCTCGATAGTCATCCACTGCATAATCAGGTCTGCGTAAGGACAGATCAGGAAATCTTCCTTCATGTCTGGCATAAGGAGGTACACCTCTGAAGTCTCTAGGATCATCTCTAGCCCAACCACGAGGTGGGGATCGATAGCCATTCATCATCCTTCCAGGGGATCGATCAGGTGGACCAGGAAACCGTCGAGGGGGAAGAGGTGGCGGAGCAGGATAACCCCTACGAGGAGGGCTCCTAGTAGTTGCATTGCGAGGCTTCTTGCAGTTGTTGCAGATCTCTCTCCTTGCAAAGTTCAGGTTGTTACACCTGGGACATCATACAGAATAAATAAGGGAGATGGATAAAAAAACAAATGATGCAGCTTTTTTAGCACAGTGCACATGCACAGGACATCATTACAGCATCACAGATCCCAAGTTAGTCAACTAAGTAGTGGGGAGAAAAAAATCTTTAGAAACTTACGCTGGATCAGAGCAAATCCAATCCCCTTCTCTTGGACGCACGTTCGGATTATTTCTAGGTGCAGCTTCACCTCTGAAAGGACCTGGACCATGACCAGGACCATCAAAACCCCTTGAATTAAACCTGCTACCATTTCTTTCACGACCATGTGGGGGCGAGTTGTCCTGATATCTGTTCTGATCCCGTCCACTTCCATAATTACGGCTTCGAGGCGGAGCACCCGAATGATCAAAACCTGGACTGTAGCGATTGCCTGACCTATGATGCACAGGAGAAACAGAACCTGTACGCAGTCTATATCCTGAAAGAAGCCAGTGAACCCCAAGACAAGAAACACCAGTTACCAAATTGAATTACCAAGCATAACATCCTAAAAATGCCAGATTTGCGACTTTGCACTGCCGAATAAAAATTCAACTTAGCCCAAACAGAATTACCAATATTCACGTATCTTGTGCAGAACAATCACACAAGAGACTAGAATACTGAAGGATTGAATGCCCAGCCCCTTTAAGGGTTACTTTTCGAGCAACCTTACCATCAATAGCCGAAGTACACATCATAACGTTAACCACCACACAAGAATCCCTATGATCTCAACTACAAGACAGGATCAGGCACTCAGTGCTAGCACCACTTTACCATCAAACAACCATGGGAACATAGTTCTGAATGGACTAATTTACTTAAAGTTCACCAACAATTCCAAATTCCAGTGAGTACTCTCGACAGTCACGTAACCCCTGAAAATACTTCACCCACAGTTGCCTCTGCAAGCTATGAAAGTGGAATGGAAGGTCCAGCCATGCCAGAGAACCAAGGATCCAAAATGAGGAACAACCACCAAACCAAGCCACCAGGCCAACCACCCAATCACAAAAATAACAAGCAACAAAATCCCACGGGTAGATACACGATGAATTGATCAAACATATAAACAAATGCCCATTTGCCAGTTTCTTCTACGTTCAGCTTGCAATTTTGTAAAGAAAGACACCTTAAGCCAAACAAAATATCATCCACAAAACAAAAGAAAATTTGAGGAAACGTGAACTTCCTTCTTCGCTTCATCAATTGGGCTCAATTCTCAATGCAATCTTGAATCCACAATTTGACCTTAAATCAAATATGCAACACAAAAGCAATTTAAATAAACCTAAAAGCATTCAATCTCATTTAGTAACAATATTCATCTAAAACCATGGAAACACTAGGCCACCTTAATAGCTGTCGACTTCACAGTTAGTTTATGGTAAATTCTGAGTATTGTCCAGCACTAAGGATGACGGTTGTATACAAGAATCATCTTCTTGGATCAATTAGCCAAACCTACCCACAAATTTAGTATAGCTCCATCGCCTACAATATAAACCAGGAACCTGGATTTAGGAGAATTTGTCGTCCAGAACCCAGTTCACAGAGAATCAACCCACCTACACCGGCGGCCAAAAGATCAGACCCCATGAGTTTGTGAATTACCTCTAAAATTCTTACCAATCCTCTTTTTTCCACTTGGACAGATTACCAAACCCCAAATAAACAATAACCCAAATTACATTCCAATATCAGCATCTCAAAAACACACGTGCCTTCTCAAGACCAAATGTTCTTGCACCAGGCAACATTCACAGCTGTAAAACACAACAGCACTACATTTGTTATCCAAGACCCTGAAATCTAATCGTTCTTTACACACAATACAAGGGTACACGAGAGAAAACTCTGTTGAGGAAGTGACTAGTTGAGAATGAAGGTAGCAAAAGTACAGTTTGCATAGCATAACAGCTTAAATCCATGGACTGCACTCATAAAGCATGTTCAATTTCACCACTCAAAGGAGATCACCAAAACTAATGACCCGAAAAAAATGACCAGTTCAATTCGAAAATCAAAAAGACCATTCTAATTTCAGAATTAGCCCATGAAAAACTTGTTAGTCCAAACATACCAACCAGAAAACAACACTAGCAGCCTAGCGGCCGATATAGTCATTAAACTACAAACAAAGCAATCAATTAAGGTGCAGCCATAAGGCTTAAAAGGAGGCTTCAGCAATTACACAAGTAAGAAAAAAATTAGGGTTTGGAAACACCAACTTTAATCGAGCTAATAAAACACATAATAAGAGGATTAATAATAAAGCAGAGAAACACAAACCATGATCATCTGATAGTCGATCGGAGTGGGAGTACGGACCTGGTGCGGCATCGCGACGAACTTCACCGGGTTCGTAATCGCTACCGGGGCCACCAGCACCGGTGGCTCCTCCACCACCACCACCGCCACCTGCGGCGCCGCCGCTGTCAGTAGGACGAACCACGAGGCTGCTAAGCAGCGGTTGATGCGGGGTCGAATGGTCCTTGTCACGCGAGCCCATCTCTGTTGCTGTGGCCGTTTCTCTCCGTTCCTGTCTTTCCGAGAAGTTCTAGATTATGACTACTATTACACGAGGTGAGGTGAGGGGACCGCCTTTTTCGCCGGAATATTTGTGTAATTACGGAATTATTTGAGGACGATGTGAATCTAAAAGCCCTAGGCCCCTTACTGTAGGACGAGAAGATTCCAAATATCATTCCAGGTTTCCAGCCCGTTATCGTGATGACAACAGCCCAACTACAACTGCCACGTATTGGGCCCGTTTTAATCTCCCTTATTATTTTACCGACAGTAGAATAAGATTAATTAATTATATAAAAAAATTATAAATACAATGTATAAATCTGCCACTATTTGAATGTACTCCCTCTGTAATTTTGTCCAATTTAAATTTTTACTTTTAATCGATTGATATTAAAAATGAAAATCCAAACTAAATAATATTTTGGGACGCATGGAGTATCATTTAGGTTCAATATACATACTTAGAAACGATCTTTATAAAAAAAAAAGAAAAAAATTTGACAATATTCTTGTATACATACGATTATATGTTGTTGCCGCATAGTACTATTATAAGTAGTATAAATTATTATCGTATTAGAAATCAGCACACAATTGTGTATATAATGACATATGTTTGAGTTAATGATAGCGAAAGTTAAAAAATCCGTTAATACAATGAGTGATATGTAAATTGTAAACTATTAATTGATTTAAAATATAGTTGTTACTCGAATCTGACTGGCTTTGTTAGTTTGGATTTGCCGCTTCCATGAATCAACTTTTTATTAGTAAATGATATCATCGGGCATTATATGCTGGTAACGTTGTAATCCCGCGTCCGCGTACTCTTTTGTTCCCAAATGTTGTGAAATTTGAAATTTTACTTTTAAACCATTCTCAAGAGTAACACCAATTTAATACACAGTAAATCATCAATTTGGTGTTTTGTTGATTGTTACAGTGTTTTAAAGATCAACCATGAGCACAAATTTCATATTCAAACCACCAATTCTTTTGTATTATTTCTTTTTTTTTTATAAAATTTATTAAATTACAAAACAAAAATCCATTTTTATTAATATTTCAAATATAACCAAAATATTTGTATCTATATTACACAAAAAAATATTACAATAAATTAAATTTGAAAAACCATATTCATTAAACTAATAATTTAAATAACATTTTCATATAGAAATGAAATTATACAAACTTGTAACATTATAAAGTGAATATTAAGTCATACAGATGATATCAATTAAATCTATCAATTTTATACTTATAAATTTAATAATTTTATAACAATACACAATAGATATAAATTACACATTAATTAATAGGGGCTATTTTATAAATTACACAAGTTAACTATAATTTAGAAAAAAAAAGAGAGTAAAAGATTCAAGCACCAAATTAGTGCTCATGAACAGTAAGCTGTTCATTAGCAACCATTTGGTTATATGAACAGTGCAACTGTTGGGCTTGCACTTTGTACTCAAATCACTTGGTATGTCAATGAGGGGTTGTCGCAGTGGAAGCGGCCTTACACCTCTCACCTGCATGATGCGGGTTCGACACTCGGAAAGGGAAATGGGGGCTCATTAGAGTTGTGTCAAAAAAAAAATATTTGGTATCATTTGTTGAGAATGATTTTAGTATAAGTTGAATTAAAAATAAAAATTAAACTGAAAAATAATTTTGAGACCGGAAAATAACATATTAACTTGTTATTACCAAAAAACTAAAAATTTACTATTAGGCACGGGATCCAAAAGACCGAAACAGTTGTCAGTGGGGGTGTCCAAAAAGGCAAACGACTGGGCCGGTCCGGCCCAGACAGGAACAGATCGGCACCTGGCACTTTACTTTTGGCGTTAAAACCTCTCTTCATCAGACACGTAAACATTTCCTCCGGTGGTCACAATACAAATAAACGCATTTTCTCCAACCTGAAACAACCTTCACCAGAAAAACCACCGTCACATTCTCTCCTCAAATACCCAAATCACCCCCATATTCAGTTCGAAATCCCAAAACTACCCTCCTGCGGGCGCCAACTGCTTTGACACGTGCACTGGACCATCCGTTCTTTGTAAGACAAATGTCTGAAGGACTCCTGAATCTCTCTAGTTAATTAGTAGTAAAACAAAATACGAGAGTACTTTAGTTTATTTATTATTTAATAATAATAATAATACTAGGTTCGCGAACTTTAATAAATGCTGATGACTACATTATTTAAAAAAAAAAAGAAACCAAATCAGGAAAGGACACGTCACTGAAGAAATTAGCGGCGTGAAAGGTTGGAGCTTTGCTTTCTGATTCACCGAATATGATGACAAACCCATAAAGAGTACGTAGAAAATAAGCATTCTAATTAGATACACTATACAAAGAAGAAGAGTAAAAGAGGAGGCTTCTCGTTGATGGATGCATGAGTAGTAGTAAATTAATGCTTCTTCAATTTAGGGAAAAAGACAGTTCGATAATTAATGCGCACCTTCGCCGAATCGTAAAAGCCTAAAACGGGAGTTCTAGACAGTATTGTGTGTGTCGCTGTTTGTCAATACCAACAACTAGATAAGGAAAGGGGGAGAGAGAAAGTGTGCGTGAGTGTGTGACTGTGTGTGTTTTGCCAAGTTTTAATTTGGGAAATACGGAAGCTACTACTTTGTGTTTCTATCGGAATTTTTCAGGGGTGCATTCCAGGATTTCTGTGGTGATCATTCTTGATCGGATGATCCGGCAGGTAAATGGGGTTTTTTTTTTTCTTTTTTTTTTTAAAAATAAATTCTTTTTTGGAACTAGTGTGTGCGTGGATACTTCTCTCAGAATTGAGAATTGCTTTTGTGTTAATTATTATGTCTCTACCGGATCAAAGCATGCCTCCTTTTGTGTTTCTGATGTAAGATTGGTTTCATGTTGTTTTTTTTGGTTGATGTAATCTTTGGCGTAAATTGCGTTAAGGTTTGAAGGAAATTATAGGCTGCGTTGGGGTTTTAGGTCTAGTTATTTATTTATTTCTTAGTAAATACTTGATGAATAATTGATTGAGTTACCTGAAATTACATTCCGAAATGGGAAATGCTACATGGTTTATGATGGGAGAAGTTATTCCAAGTAATCTAATACTCTGTTTTTGCTCTCGTTTGTTCCAATTTGGAATTATTTCCTTTTTAAGTTGTGGCCATGTATCTTATATTTACTTTTTTGTCTACTCTGATCTGCTGAAGGTGTCTTACAACTGCTTAGAATTAACATGTGGAGCTCTGACCTTTGGGAGCATAAATGAGCAGTCAGACTTCTTGTGCAAATAGGCTGATGTTTGCCCTGATGTGACTAGGTAATTTCAGTTGATTTGAGGCTGACATAGTTTTGTTATGTGGAGTCCCTCGCATGGTTCCTCAATGAATAAGCACCTGACTTTGGAGGACGACATGGATCCATTTGACGTAGAGAGCCGTTCAGGTGAGTTGTTTCTCTTATACTTTATCTGGTATTTTGTAAAGTTTGAAATTTCATTTGGATTTTGCTTTATGGTCTTCCCTGTAATCTCTATTTTCAAAATGAGGATACATTTATACACAAACGTATTAGACAGAAGCGGTATGCTACCTGTAACCCAGATGCATTATCAGTTTCGATATTTAATGCTCATTTCTCCTTCTATTTTGAAATTGTAAATCGAAGAATGTAATGCACGATATTTTGTAAACGGTAACAATTAGGAAGAAGAAAATAGAGGAAAAGAAACTCTTGCATGAATACCGAAAATGGGCGAGGAATGTCATCTGACTTTTTCCCAACTTTTTTCAGCCCTTTTGCAGAATTCTATGGAGGATCAGATTTCAAATCCATCCTGGAAGCTTTCCTTCCCGCATGTTCTGGTGGCAACAATTGTTTCATTTTTGTTTGGCTACCATCTTGGGTCCGTTTTTTCTTGCTGCTATTTCCTTCAGTTATCTATATTTCTGTTCAGATTCTTGGATTTTCCTTTGTATGAATAATGAATTCCGTATCATCGACAGAGTAGTAAATGAGCCTCTTGAAAGCATTGCTGCAGAGCTTGGTTTCAATGGAAATACATTGGCTGAAGGTAATTTTGTTATCTTTACTTCAATAATTTGTCATAGCCTCTTGGTTTTCATACTGGTTTTGTTATGCTAATTCAGGTCTCGTTGTTAGTACATGCCTGGCTGGTGCATTTCTTGGCTCTCTGAGTAGTGGCTGGATTGCTGATGGAGTTGGGCGTCGCAGGGCGTTTCAGTTGTGTGCAATTCCTATGTTTGTTGGTGCCATTCTATGGTAAAAAAAAAACATTCTCTTTTTTCTTACTTTGCATTTTTTTATAACATCTTGGTTGCATTCTGATCTACTGTAAATAGCCTCAATTTTATTGATGTTTAAGATTTTTCCATCTCCTTTGTTACCCATTTCTCGTTGGTGTGGTTGTAGTGCATTTTACAGTGGTTTTATTTCCCGAGTTAAAAAAAAAAATCGCCGAGAGCCAGTCCCGAGGCTATTGTTGTATTTCACTCACTTCGTTTGACGTTAGTATGGCACTAAGTACTAACAATGCATTTGCAGTGCTACTGCTACAACTTTGGCTGGAATGCTTGTAGGGAGGTTCTTAGTTGGAACAGGGCTAGGGGTGGGTCCTGCTGTTGCATCTCTTTATGTGACAGAGGTATGAAATTTGTATTGTCTGGCATTGCATTTGATGGTTACTTCATTAATGTATGGAGGCTATTTCTTTTTTTGGCTAATCTTAATTCCTCTATGCAGGTTTCTCCTGCTCACGTGAGGGGTACTTATGGGAGCTTTATCCAGATTGCTACGTGCCTTGGACTGATGGCAGCTCTAGTAGTTGGAATTCCAGTGAAGGATATTTCCGGCTGGTAAGGACATATAAACCAATATGCGGTACTATCCAGTCAAAAGACAAGAAGGTTTTTTGCTTGTAGTGAGATAGATGCTTTCATGCTTTCAAGTAAAATCCACAATTTGTGTGCACAGGTGGAGGTATTGTTTCTGGATATCTACAATACCAGCAGCATTACTTGCTATTGGGATGGTGTTTTGTGTTGAATCTCCCCATTGGCTGTACAAGGTATACATTTTAATTTTTTTGGACTCCTATCTGTGAGGCCGCTCTGTCATTTTCCTGAGATCTTTTGCACGCTCTTTCGGAATCTTCTTAGAAATCTAGAGCTGAATTCATCTTAGCTTCTTGTAAGGAAACAGTGTACTGTATTCTTATGTGATCAAAGAATTCATGCCCCTTCACTTTTTGCAAAGTAGATTGATGTTCTCATTGTTGAACTTTCCTCCCTCTTTTTACCGCTTTAGGATTCTTGTCAGAAGATCAGATCTTTCCGTCTTTGACTATTTTGGTGTGCAATTAATTTGATGAACTTATTTCTCAGTTATGCTCTTGGATATCATCTTAAACTGTTGTTTAGTCATTGAAGATTTGAGATTTTTTCTAAGTTAATGAAAATTTGAGATGTTGTGCCGTTCAGTATTTCAGTCAGAGAGATTTTGGCTTCACTCAGTTTTGGGATTTTTTCTGAATGTTTGCTTGATTTTGTCATTTTTTGTTTTGGTGGAAAGGAATATATGTTGTCGCTTGTTGTTGCATTCATTCATTCTTTTATTTAAACTTCCCTTCGAATTTGAAATCCTATCTAGCATTTAGTTTCAGCAGATGGTCAATTTGTAGATTTCACTCTCTTCTACAAAAAATCTTCCTTCTCTTGTTACTTGTGTCACATCAAAGAAATTTCAGTAGTGAGTTGCGCAGATACTTATTCCTTCATTTTGTTAATTCAGCAAGGCCGAATATCTGAAGCTGAAATTGAGTTTGAGAGACTTCTTGGGGATTCACATGTGAAAACCGCAATGGCTGAGCTGGCAAAATTAGATAGAGGAGATGAAAGTGCGAATGAAAAATTTACAGAACTTCTCATTGGTCGGCATTCTAGAGGTAGATATGAACATTCTCCGATCTATGGTCAATTGTGTAGGTGGTTGGGGTTCTTACCTATGTTCTTTTGGATCTCGTACTTTGTTATTCACTAAATTATTTTGCAGTTGTTTTTATTGGATCAAGCCTATTTGCTTTACAACAGCTCTCTGGAATAAACGCTGTGTTTTATTTCTCTTCAACTGTATTTAGACGAGCTGGAGTATCCTCGAACGTGGCAAATGTCTTTGTAGGAATTTCAAATTTAATAGGTACATTCTTGTTCTTCAGCATTCCCTCACGCTCACCCCCTTAACTTCAATCTGAAATGTGGCTAACTTGAACGGATATAAGCAGTATCCAGGGATCATGTCCCAGTTTGTCCACGGGGTTATCTCCAATGTGTTACCTTGATTTCCTACTTTTCCAGTTTTTTAGCTGATAAAACTTAGTGTTCAGGATCTGTTATCGCGCTGGCATTGATGGACAAGCTGGGAAGAAGAGTTCTTCTTCTGTGGAGTTTCTTTGGCATGGTAAGATCTCTTTAGCCAATACAATGTTTGATCTCGCAACTGGGGTAGCATATTGCTCTTCCTTTGTGTTTTCTCTCTAGGAAGGGGTCCTGGAGGGTTGTTTGCACTGCGAAATTACTGTTTCTCGAGGTTATTGACTTGGCCACTATGCTGTTGAAAATAGAAGCCGTGCAAAAGTTTATAAACAGTCAACGTATTTTGCTTGGGTGTTTGGATATTAAATCGGCGAATTTAAACTCTTATCCTTTATAGGAAAAGATCGATCTTATTTAGTCTTCGAAATTTTATTAGTTACATCCCATGCTTGAACTAGAATAGTCTTGGGACTGTTGTTAGTTATATCATTCACCTTTAATTCATTCTTCATGCAGCCATGGATATCATTCTCTGTCCTCTCGTATATGACTATTATTTAAGTATTTTAAGCTGTTAGTGCTCTCTATGATTGTAACTGTTGGTTTTGGAATTTTGTACTCAGGCAGCAGCTATGGCTCTTCAAGTTTTCGCAGCAAGTTTGCCTGCCCTAAATTCTGGAGCTTTTTATTTCTCTGTTGCAGGCATGCTAATGTAAGTTTAATATTCAGTTCTTCCCTTTACAGAAGGTTGTTTTATTTTATATGTGGGAGGAAAATTGAATGTCTGATATTTCCACCATTTATTGGTTGCAAGAAATTATATGAACTGGAGTTGTGCTAGATAACTTGCAGTGCCTATTTTTTCGGATTAGCTATGTCAATTTTCAGGAGACCCAAATAGCATGTTAGTTGTAGACGAGCATAAATTGTTGGAACTTGTCTTTTGCAGGTTTGTCTTGACATTTGCGGTTGGAGCTGGTCCAGTTCCCGGTCTTCTAATCCCAGAATTGCTACCAAGCCTAATTAGGGCAAAAGCCATGGCCTTTTGTATGTCAGTGCATTGGGTAATAATTCTATTAATTTGCTGCTATTTTCAGTTCTTACATAACGTGTTTAGTTCTTAATGTGCATTTCATGATATCCTCAGGTCTTGAACTTCTTTGTTGGCTTGATGTTCTTGCGTTTACTTGAACTTTTTGGGCCACAGCTGCTGTACTCGTTTTTTGGTACCTTCTGCCTGATGGCAGTGGTTTTTGTGAAAAGAAACGTTGTGGAAACTAAAGGAAAATCACTTCAGGAAATTGAGATAGCTCTTCTTGCAGAATGGTACTGTTCAGTTGTCTGCTCTTGCTTGAAATCCATTTGCTGAAAAGTGTCAAATTATCAGCATTTCATTCAGTTTTTAACCTTGTTCCTCTTGCGATGCAGATGGACCAACAGTTCAGACTCGCTGCTGCAGGGACTTGAGAGACTTGGCAGCAAAGTCACTTCTGCTGGAATTTTTGGGTGCAATCTTTCCGGCTGATGGTCCAGTGTTTCTCAGCTTATTGCTATGGACAACACCTGGTGCACTGATAATTGTATACTACTCATCTTATGATAGTTTAGGATGGAAAGGATGTATTTGTTAGTCAAGGAATTTGTCCCTGAAATGCAGTCTCTCTAGGCCTCTGTTATGTCGCAGTAAGACTCAAACTGTACTGAAATAAAACGCTCGTTGCCTGTGGCGATTGGAAATATTGTATGTAGTACATTCTAAATCATCCATTTTGTTTCTCTGGGCATCGAATAGCGATTGAATAGTTTAAATTTAAGCCACTTGAACTTTTTGACGTTTTCTGTATTTTCGTTACTAGTAGCTGAGTAGCTTGCGCTCAATCATAGGCGAAGGCTAATGCGCTTGAAATAATAATAGGCCAAATGAAGAACATAAGTTCGAGATTCTCATGTACAAGATCGAAAGGGAAGTACTCCGTATTTCATTATACACGGCCGAACCAAAAGGGATGGCGGCAACAGTTTTAACTTCATTATCCAAAATTCGTCATAGTCTTGAGAGTATCACATGCACAGTACAATGCAAATACAAACGCAGAAGTTTCCCAACTGCAACCTTGTATTCTCATAGAATCAACTGGCGCCGTCAAAGAGTGAACTTATCAAAACCATTAGAGTGAACTTATCAAAACCATACTGCCGATATACAGAGGCATATGAGGCAACGACTATACAGAGGCGTATAAGGCAACGACTACCCAGTGTAAACACATGAACACAGAAATCATCAAATTAACTGCTTCAATGGCCTCATTCAATCCCATGATTTGGTGCAATAAAATGGCTTCCAGAAAGTTCAAGAAAACTGAATGGAAAACCCACCATCAGACTGTGTGACAGTCATTGGACCAAAATCATCAAACTCAGAATCAGAGTCGAATTCCCTATATTGTCCCCACTCACTGGGGGAATCCTCATCGAGATCACTATGTTTAGAAGGAACTCTAAGCTCCAATATGGGAGCTGGCAAAGGTTCTTCATTCAAGTACTTATCTTGAAGCAATTCCATTGCTGTCGCTCGATTTGCAGGGTCAAAAGAAAGCAGCTTCTTAACGAGTTGGATTTCATCAGTCGATCGGTTAGGCAGTCCTCCTTCCACACCTGGGGGATTAACTACTTTCACAAAGTTAAGTGTTTTGTAATCAGGGAGATCCAGACATCCAGCCCAGACTTCTTCAGTTAAGTTTCCCAGGACACTAAAAACTCTGCTTATCTGATCGATATCTGAGGTTCCAGGAAACATTGGCTCTAGACTCAGAAGCTCAGCAAAAATACATCCCAATGCCCACAAATCAATCTCTGTTCCATAAGTAGTAGAGCCAAAGAGCAACTCTGGTGCTCTGTACCATCGAGTTCCCACGCATGACGTAAGAGGGCCTAATCCTTGATTTTCCCCCTCTTCAGCCTCGCATGAATATCCACGAAAAGGATCTTCATCCATCTCACTTGCAGTGTAAGTAGCAAGACAAGAAGCATCTCCATCAGGAACATTACCTTCTTTATCAACTTCATCCAAAGAATCTCTCTGCTGGTCCTCGCTGTACGCTCCAAACTCTTGTTTCCCAGGAGATCCCCTTGGCTTAACCGGAGTTCCATAATCACCATAAGTTAACGTGCCAGTGGTTACAGGTGGTCCAGGTTCAGCAGCATCCTCTGGAGAATCCAGATCATTAGGTGGCATATTGTCACCAACAGCAACATATCCAGGAGCAAGAAGTATCCTAGCCTGCATTGAAGCACAAGGGGAGAAAAATTGAATGTCTCGAGATGCTCATCGAGTAATGGGAGGGAGCTTCATAACCTCGCAGCGAACTTTTTGAATTAGAACACTTGAAAATAATGGCGTCTTTCTTGGTGATCATAAGATTTTGCATTTAAAAAGATTGTGGTGAAAATCACCCTGAAAGGCAACTAAACAATCAAATTGTTATCGTATCTGTGAACTGTGATCGGTCATAGAAATACTTCAATATCTTTAGATAATAACCACCAATGAAATTAAAGAGATACCATCAAAAGCTTCATCAGATAAAGGTATTCAAAGACACTTGTTATAAGAGCCTTCAACCAAGTTTCTACTCGAGCACTGTGAACAGATATATATATATATATATATATATATATATATATATATATATATCTCTGCATTAATGCGTATTCCACAAATCAACAAAGTACTAAATAATCAAAAAAATTACACTTAACATATAATGAGAAACCTATTGGATGCTAATTTTCAGCCAGATTGTTGGTCCAATTGTACACTAAACCTACATTATCCCTTGTTGCTTTCAGTAAATCAAGCTAACCGTTGTGAACACGGACAACTTTCCAACTGATCAACCATTAATGTAGCTCAAATGCAGATGATAGGCATGCACACATAACGGGAACTTTGATTTCTTTTCCATATCCAACTAAGGCAGCCCAAGGAGGGTCACAAAATATGATTCTACCAGTGGTTTAACTTCAACCATAAAAATGTAAGAACAAACAATATTATGAGAATTTGCCAGGAATTCAATCATAACCGCTTAGCAAATTCCTAAAAAAAAACCCAACTTGGTAAGTTTCCTCACCCTGACACAATCTTAGTCTTTATCGAACAAAAGAACAGAAGGCGCAAAAAATTTCTAACCTGTCCAAAATCGGCTAATTTGAGCACCCCATCAGCCGAAATTAACAAATTCGTGGGCTTTAAATCTCTGTGCACAATTGAACTCCTATGGCATGCATCCACCCCACTCAATATCTGAATCATCCACCTCTTTATCTCCTCAACCCGCAAGCCTCCATCTTTCCACTCTCCCTTCTTGGCCGCCCTTATCACATCCGATAAATCGACAGGCAAATACTCGAGCACGAGGACGGCGTCTTCGTCTTCGCTCCAGAAGTACTCGTGCAAGACAACAACATTGGGACAGTGCTGAAGGGCCTGGAGAGCTTCGATCTCCCGGAAAGCAGATTGATAGTCGTGGATTTCCTTGAGGGCAACGATGAGGTTGTCGGAGAGACGTCGGCCTTTGTAGACGTCGGAGTAAGCGCCGGACCCAACGAGCTCAAGAATCTGGTATTTGGATATGATTTCCCGGCGGGTGTAGATGCTCCAGCTCTTTGAGGCAGGTTGGTCCATTGGGGTAGTGATGATAGTCTGGGACGGTGGTCGGTGGGCGGTCGGCGGTGAAAAGTTTGTTCCCGGCGTCCGTTTATCATATGAGATCACGGAATTTATTAGTAAATTTAATTGCAACAACCTCCCTAAGAGATTACAAAATTACCATTTGCCCTACAATTATTTTAGAACTAAATATTATAACCCTCTGTCTCAGAAAAATAGTTCAGGTAAAATCTCGGAGTATTAAATTTTGGGATTTGTATTAATTTTAGTACTACAAATTTGAAAATGACATTTCTTTTGGACAAAGAAAATACCTTTATTCGCGAGATTTACATCGAGTTCTGACATTTGTATTATTTTTCAAATTATTACAATAGGTAAAAAATTTTCTTTATCGTGTGAGATCAAAAAAACAAAGAAAAAATTCGTACAATATAATTAAACGTTTCAGATTATGCTTTCTTCATTCTACCAAAAAGTACTTTGGTTTACATCTTTCCCTTTGGATTCTTGCTTAGTCTGGTTCATTACTTTTCTGCTTCATTACACATTTACACTTTTTTTTAAAAACTTGTATTAGATTAGGATAATGTTCCTAAACTATTACATTGCATCTTGTAATAAGTTATATTATGAACTTCCATTACATCCGACCTATTAACTTTAATCAATTTACAATAGTCAAATATATTTATAAAAGAGATTAATAGAGGAGCAATTTCTTGCACCTCAATCGGAATTTGTAAATCCCTAAGATGATTTGTTAAAAATTCACAATCCTTGTGAACTTTAACATTTTTGATTCTGTAATTGGAAGCTTGTTGAAGCAGTGATTGATATGTCATCATTTCCGTTTGTAACGGAGACTGAGACTCTATATCTATTGATCTAATCTGAATAACCATATCAAAAGGAGAGGTGATCTTCCATGCTTCAGCTGCTTTATGAGTAATAGGGTGGAAGAATCCATCGAAGGAGATAGTAAAAGCATTACAGTTAGTGGAAGATCTCCTGATTTTGTTGCCTACAAATGTTTTCATTTCTTTCCTTCCAAATATTTCAGATTATGAGAAGGAAGTAGTCTATATCCTCCTTCGCTTTGCCTGTTCCTGTTACACATTTACACTGATTATTGATGCGTTAAAAATTTTGTGTAAGTGGTAAACTGTAAGTTAAGGTTCTTAACATAAATTGCATACAATGCTTAGTTCTTTTCCTTTCAAATGAATATTTTTATTCATCGTGTCTTCCATCTGTTTTCATGATTATTGCTTATACGATAGCCTGACACAATTTTCGTTTACTACCCGGAAAACCACTGCCTTTTTAGCTTCCATAACATATCAGTCCCAAAACTGATGCTCAACAGTCAACACCACAGATTCACTATCCTAATTATAGAAATTCATTCACTGATACATATCAAATCGGCTGGGTTGATAACAAGGCATGGGGGGTTCAAGGTACCAAACTACCAATTAATGGTTCACCTGAAGAAGGTTCATGTAGCATTTACACTTGACAAAGTAGTTGATTCTCCACCACAATTCATCACCTCATCTCTAATGGTTCACCAGCAGAAGTTTGATTCAGAATGTGTACTCCACAAGCAGACTATGGTCTGATACCAGTCAAATGATTCAGATTTCAGAATATGTTCCACCACTAGAGGAAGATGGTCAAACAACAATTATCCATATACTAACATGTAACAACTACACTTAACATGAACATTCCAGAGCGTATGCCTTTGTAAAACAAGGTACCAAAAGTTCCCTCAATAGCCCCAACTACTTACTGTTCTGCAACTACACATTGCCCGAAGCCTCATACTAAGCGTGCTCTGAAACACAATCTTGCAAGTCTCTGATTTCACTTCAGCCTCGAATATTCTCTTAAAGACATCAGAGTTTTTCTTCCAGTCAAAGTCACAGTCGAAAACCACCTTCTCCAAAACTTTTCCATTCTCCAAAAGGTATTCAATGAATTTAATTTCATCTTCGTGGCCTTTAAATGCTCTGATTTCTACCATCTTCATGCTTGAGGTAAGACAGTGAGGAATGCCATTGGCTGACTTCTGGAAACATACAAAGCATCCATCGACCATATCGGATTTACTGTCAATCCATACTGATTCAACTTTCGAAGCATTTTTCAGTAATCTTCCAAAGAAGTTCCATCCAGCCACCCCAACTACATTGAGTAGCAGAGTCTTTAAATTACAAAAATTAGGCAGTGGAAGTGGCAAATGATGAAGAACCTCCGTAGTTGGCCCAAAGAGATTCAAATTCTCAACTTCAGAGCATGCATTGATAAGACCAGCTATCTTGAGGTCATTGGGACCTTCATCATCCAGAACTCCTAAAAGTAATGCAAGACGATTAATTCGTTCAAATTTGCTAATGAAGGAGAAGTTTACATCAGAACAGCCATATTTATACAAACATTCCAGCAGTGGTGTGTCTATGACCACAATGGTATCAGGATGAAAGATGCAAAATCTCAAAACCAAATTCTTCAGCGAACCAAAACGGATCCTGAAAGCCTGTACAGGTTCAATAACACAACGAGCCAAGGTCAAGTGTTCGAGTACAGGGCATTCATTAAGGAGCAATTCCACACCACCAAAAAGCATGGCATGATCGATCGTTAACCTCTTCAAATTGGGGAACTTAACAACTGGAATATCCTCCAGAAGAAAGAGAAAAAAAGCTTTACCCAAACTCAACCACAACCAGGTTAAGGTAGTGCAACCGTTTAGAGCACCAAATAACTTGCTGGCACTAGAAATTTTCAGATGGGCATGAAGTGAAATATATTCCACGCGAAGCCTTACAGCAGCGCCGACACAAGAAACGATATCATCAGATTTATACTTTTGTCGACATGTGAGTTTGAATAGACTGATTGTGGCGCCATTTTCCAGCAACCTGTTCAAAACTCGCCCAACAAAATCCAGAAAACTACTTCCATGTTCTTCCTCGGAATCCGAATCAGCTACCGGATTGGGTTCTCCATTCGGATTACGCAGAAGCAATGAATCATCGAAATCCAATTTAAGTTTTGGGATCAAGGTGAACAGATTTTTCCACCTGGTTGACAGAATAGAGGTGCCCACGGCAAATTTTGTTGGGAGAAATGACAAAATGTGACAGAGGACTGAGTCTGGCAAATTGCAAATCAAATAATCTTTGGAGTCTGGGTTTTGTACAGAAATTTGGGGAACTTTCAAGTGTTTTTGGTGTACTGATTCATCCATCTGGGATTCATAAACTGAGGCACGCTATCCTTTCTACACAATCACAAAAGGAAAGTTTAGAGGGAGGAAAAAAAAAACCTGGCTTTTGTTGAACTTGAACCTTCACTTTCTCCTACCCAGTTTCGAGGCCCAAATGAAACATATCACACAAAAGATGAAACCCTATGCGCCTCGGAATCATGCATTTGTTTGCTTATTGGAAAGGCAATGGAAGGTATCGTTATAGTATTTCGCAAGCATTGGAGAGTGAAAACGGCGAAGGTGCAAAGTATGAGATGGGCTTCAATAATCGGATAATCGAGGTGGATCAGAATTAGCATTTAGCAAAAAATTAGGGTAAAAGAGAAGATCAGAAGGGTGAATTAGGGTTGCAGAAACGGGGAAAATCGTGAGAGAGAAAAGGCAAGGAGGAAGAACAGAGAAATCTCAATATTCATTAACGGTGCTGTTCACAGTACTGAGGTCAGCATACATAGTTAGACCTATCTTTAAAAAATTTGCACAACAGTCCCAACACTATCAAATATAGCTAGACTAGTCCCAACATTGATCACTCCGTTTAGTCTCAATTCGATGATAACATTCGTGATTTGTTAATCGTAACTAAACGATTTCCAATATTTATGTATGAAAATGTACTTTTACCCTAAAAAAAAAAAAAGAACGAACACGTATTTTGAAACCGTGGTTAAGATTTTGGATGAATCCACCCAAAAGCTCCCTACACACGGTTGATTTCTATATTGATCTGTTATTGGAAGGTTTCCTTATGGCTCTTGAAATTTTGCATTTGAAAGGCAACGAGTGATCTTTTCGTTCAATTACTTCAATCATCATTGTTGTTCATCTTCATCGCGTATTTCACATTTAGTTGGGATCAAAACCTTGTAGTTCTTGTGTGCTGGTTTAAAACACATGAGGTTGTCTTTTGTAGGTTTTTGGTCTCTTTTGCTTTGTTGGAAGTTGGATCAAACACAAGCAATCTGGTTAAAACCAAGTACTATATTTGATGTTTTCAAGTGTCAGATTTTTGGTGTAACTCTAGGAATTATGCGGCCGAAAGTTGTCTTTCTTCTTCGGGTTTAGTCCACAAACCTCATAACTATGTAAGATAAAACGAACGAATGTTCAGAAATGAAAATAGATCCTACACTCTATTTTAAGCAGCTAATAGTTAGGCAGTGGAAGAGACAAATGAGAAGAAAGCTCCATAGTAGCCGGAATAGACACAAAATTAACCTCAACTTTACAGCATATACATTAATAAGATAAGCTATGTATCTCTCTCAGATGTCATTAGAGTCAGGACCTTCTTAGCTAGTTGCCTGCTTCTCCGAAAGCGAAATTCTAAAAAATTTGGTTATACAGCACTCAACAAACACATTAAGACACCTATGAAACTAAAGATGTTAACACCATCGCCCCCACCGAGCATGATGGTGAGAAAAGTTTACAAAAGAGATTAACCCAACCCTATTTCAATTGATGTTCATATTATTAAGGAGTATTTGATCCTATTAACTATTTGTTAGCTAGTGCAGAATAAAATCCTCACATTCAGCCCTCAACACATGCGGCTGCAAGCAAATTCAAATAAGCTGTGGGAGTATATACAATTCACACACTCAAAACACATTCTTTTTCTTACATTTTCCTGCAAACTAATGTGTGATAACAGAAATTCCATAAAACTAGACCATTTGAGGTTCCAGGAAACAAACTTGACGAACATAATCCTGCACACTAAATCACTATTATAACTCTCAAACTGAATCTAACAGATCATTAACATTGATCAGAGCAACACATGAATCACATTCGTCATATCTAGTGCATCAGCAGTGTGGCATAAGTGACTTAAATCAGCTCAAACTAGCCAATAAAGCCAATAACAGTAAGCATGCTTATGGACATCCATTTAATAAATAAATCTATAAGAAGTGCCATCTAATAAGCCAAAAGTTGTTTCTCACAGAGATAACTATAAACCTCTAGGTCTTACAACTGCAATAGACAATTCAATATCCAAAACTATACATAGCTGATCAGCCAAATTCTTCAAAATTTCAACTTGGATATAATTTAAACCCACGGACTGTTTGCCCCATCCTTCACCTAAAGTAAGTCTTTTACCACAAGTCAAATAACAATTAGCCCAACCATGTAACTCCTATAATTCAAGGGTAAAACATTCCACGCAAAACCTTTAAAGACAAAGTACTGCATAAGCTTTGCAAAATTCTACCTTTAGTCCAAGTAATTACTATTTTATAGCACTGCTACACATTGCTCAGAGCCACATGCTAAGAAAGTTTTCATCACCAGAAAATCTTACAAGTCCCAGATTTTGCTTCAGCCTCAAGTATTCTCTTTAAGACATCAGCGTTCTCCTTCCAGTTAAAGTCAAAGTAGAAAACCATCTTCTTCAGAACTTTTCCATTCTCTAAAATGTATTCAATGAATTTAATTTCATCCTACAGGCCTTTAAATGCTACAATTACTACCATCACTATGCTCGAGGAAAGACAGCAAGGAATGCCATTGGCTGATTCCTGGAAGAAATCAAAGCACCCATCAACCATGTTGGATTCCCTATATATTTGTAGTGCTTCAACTTTCGAAGCATTTTTAAGCAATCTTCCAAAGATGATTTATCCAGCCACCCCCACAACATCAAGTTGCAAAATCTTTAAGTTACAAAAATTAGGCAGAGGAATTGACCCATGATGAAGAACCTCCCCAGTCCATCAAAAAAGTTTCAAATCCTCAACTTTAGAGCATGCGTTAACAAGATCAGCTATCTTGAGGTCATCAGAATTCAGCTATCTTGAGGTCATCAGAATTGGGACCTTCACGAGACTTCCATAAATCTAAAGAAAGATGATTAATTCGATCAAATTTGCTAATGAATGAGAAGTTGACATTGGGTGAGCCATAGTAGGTCAAATCTTGCAGCTCTGGTGTGTCTATGACCAAAATGGTTGTAGCATACAAAATCCTGCAGTAACTCAAAACCAAATCCTAGAGAGAACTTATACAGATCCTGAAGCTCTCTCTAGGTTGAATAACACAACTATCTAAGACCAATCTTTCGAGTACAGGGCATCCATCAAACAGCAATTCTACGCTACCAAAAAGCCAGGCACAATCAATATTCAACACCTTAAAATTGGGGAACTTAACAACTGGAAGCTTCTCTAAAAAAGTCTACGAAAGCCTTTACCCAAACCCAACCGCAACCAAGTTAAGGTAGTGCATCCATTGAGACTACAAATTACCTTGCCAATAGAATATATGAGTGGAGGGCCTTTAAGGCGAATACCTTCCGGACGAAGCCTTATAGCAACCTCAACACAAGAAACCAAATCATCTGCTTTATACTCTTGTTGACATGCGAGTTTTAGTATACGGGTTGTGGCGCCATTTTCCTGCAACCGGTTCAAAACCCGCCCAACAAAATCAAGAAAACTACTTTTGTGCTCTTTTTCAGGCTTCGAATCGGCTACCAGATTGGGGTTTTCATTCGGATTATGCAGAAGCAATGAATCATCGAAATCCAATTCAAGGGGAACAGATTTTTCCACCTGGTCAACAGAATAGAGGTGCCCACAGCAAACTTTGTAGGGAGAAATGACAAAATGTGACATAGGAGTGCGTCTGGGAAATCGCTAATCAAATCATCACTGGATGATTCTGGGGTTGGTACCAAAATTTGGGCATTTTCCATGTGTTGATGCTGTTCGACAGATTCATCCATCTGGGTGTTGGGAGGCATATTCTATTCTACACAATCACAAGGAAAGCTTTAGAAAAGAAAAACCTGGGGATTTTGGTGCCCTTTAGTTACCATCGTGATTTAGGTAAAAGATGCAGCCATGGATTACACAGATCGGAGAATATGAAATGGGATCAAATTAGGGTTAGTAGACACAGGAGAAACGCTTATTAAAAGGGGACAGAAATTCTTTTCCCGTTTAATCACTGCCACCGGAACTCCGGAAGTGGTCTTGGCTTTTTGGTCATTTGCGCAACTTTCCGGCATTGACTTTATATTTAACCCCGTCAAAGGCTGTAAATGTAAGATGCCCAAAACTCTAGGGTTGGATTTTATTTTTACGTCAGGTCAAAACTAAGGGTTGGATTTTCCGGCATTGGCCCTTTTCTTTTTCCCTTTTTTTTTTTTTATAAAAAAAAACTTATTAATGTAAGTATTATTGCAGTAGGTAAAAGACCGTCAGCACTGTTTGAAACTGTACAATGCATCATTGTTGAACAAAGGCATGAACCTGAAAATGAAGTTTCAGTTAGGCATTCATTATCCTCTATTATGAAGTGGTTAATTTGGGACCAGTTTTGATTCCACTCCATTTGAGCAAAACTTCAAAACAAAAACAAAAAAGATTAGTCAAAAGGTTGGGATGATAAATCAAAATTATTGTAAGGAACTAAGGATCTTGATGTTTTAATGTTACTATAAACTTGAAACATGAAGTCAAAGCAGCTATCATCGTCTTTCAATTTTCTTTTGCATTTTCCGGGTTTGTTTGTTATCATGTCAATGTCCTTTATCAAATGTTTAAAGATTGTACTTCCATATCGGAATCATGAGTTGACTAGCTTAACCAAATACGATCAACATGCTGGCATCGGATCCTCTGCGACAGTGGTAAGCATCTAATAATGAAAGAAAATTTAGAAACCAAAGTAGGTTACAAGAGACAAAAATTAGAAAGTAATATGTAAATTATTATAACAGATGATCTTAAGTGATCCAAACCATGCAATGCACCTATAAATAACGCTAGTACCAAGAAGCTCTTATCATTACACATTTGAATCACATTCAAATCATATTCTTACAATCAAAATAATGGCAATTCATTTTCAAACACATATGATCTTGTTCATGATTTTCCTTATGTCTTGCAAGTTGTGCATAGGCACAACATATCAGCCCTCTGAACTTTGCCCGCCTATGTATCCCGTAGGCGTCCCATTGACTAAGATGGACATTGATTTGCTGCAATTTGCGGAGAATCTGGAATACTTGGAAGCTGAATATTTCCTTTATGGTGCCTTTGGAGCTGGACTGGAGGAATTTGCACCTCAACTCAACAATGGAGGCCCTCCTCCGATTGGCGCAAGGAAAGCAAATCTTGATTTTCTTACCCAAAGAATCATCGAAGAATTTGCCTTTCAAGAAGTTGGACACTTAAGGTCATGTATATCCATGATCACTCTGCTTAAAGCTAGCTAGCATATATCCATTTTAAGGAACTTCATAATTGATCATCTGACATTTTTGTTGTACTGCACTTACTTTCTTCAGGGCACTTAACTATACGGTTGGTTTGATCCCAAAACCATTGTTGGACATTAGTCCTGAAACCTTCGCGACGATAATGAACGAAGCATTTGAATACGAACTTGATCCTCCATTCGACCCGTATGCTAACAGCATCAATTACATGCTGGCCTCTTACATAATTCCCTATGAAGGACTTGTAGGTTATGTTGGAGCAAATCAATTCCTTCAGGGCTATAAGGCCAAGCGTGTAAGTCAAGCCGAATATGTAAACAAACCAGATATAAGTAAAGATTGATCATCAGTACTAATGTGGCTTTTTTCCTTGCCAATCTTTATAGCTTTTGGCAGGGTTGTTGGGAGTGGAGGCAGGGCAAGATGCGGTGATCAGAACATACCTTTACGAAAGAGCTGAAGAGTTGGTGTATCCCTATAATCATACAGTTGCTGAGTTTACTATCCGCATTTCAGAGCTAAGGAATGTTTTGGCAAGATGCGGAATCAAGGATGAAGGTCTGTTCGTCCCGCGGGAGCTAGGCGCCGAGATGCGAATTACGAGCAATGTTTTATCAGCTAACAATGAGTCAATCTCGTATGCAAGGACTCCAGAAGAGATACTCCGGACTGTTTACAACTCCGGCAATGAAAGCATCCCGGGCGGATTCTATCCCGAAGGTGCAAATGGAAGGATCGCAAGGCAATATCTAGACTACTAATACGTCCTGTGTTCGTATCAACGAGCTGAATAAACCATCATCTAGCATATGTAAAAATAATGGCCAACTATTGTATATGCCTTGCTACTAATGCTGTATATTTCCATGGTTTTCTACTTGATGTGCTGAAAAATGTCTGGTTTACTGCTGTATCCAATGCCTTTGCTTTTCCATAAAGATGTGAAATTGGCAATAATCACCATCCTGAGTTGATGGCTATCTTTTCCCAATATATGCCCTGCGGCACCGCCTTCATCTTCAAAGAGAAAAATAACAAATAAAAGAAAAGTGATGATAAAGAGTTCCTAACTTGTAAGCCAATTTGAAATCATAATTTCATGATCGTCAATAATGATGACCACTGAAGAGCAACAATAACTGGCTGCTCTGTAGTCCAGCTACGTCTTCAGAGACAGAGTGCGACCCATCCTCAACCGGGTGCTCTGTAACTAAAGCCTCTTTAGCTTTCTTAAAACATTCTTGATTCTACATTTAAAAGGAAAACCAAAACCGAAAGCAATTCCAATAAATCGGCAGAAATGTATGGAGATGGAAAACCAAAAATGTTGCTCTGAAGTCTCAAATTTTGAGAAACCGATACTTACACATCTTGAATGTTTAAGAGCCATTTTTATTTTTTTGCCAACAACTACTCTCTCGCTTGATCGAACTCTGCTGCCATTTCCACATTACCTTTTGACATTGTTCAACCGGGGAACTCACCATTTTGGTCCCTTATAATGGCATAAAATTGGAAGAAATAGCAAGGTAATCCCAGCTTTTTACCTATTGATGACAGAGTCAATATATATGGATACAAGCACAAGGCGTAGTCGATTTAATATCCTTTTAATGACCAAATGCGCAACTTACAAATGAATTTATCAGACAAGGCCTAACTTAATTTTCTGCTATATTATATGGTTGGTCACTTGGTCTGTAACCAAAATTCCTACTAAGAATTAGTTTTAGGCATGTTCCCTAAATCTATTTAGGTTTAACGTTTTTCTATTCTACTAGTAGGTATTAGGTTTGGTTCCATATTGTTTTGGGATTAACTTATATCTTTGGGTCTATAAATACAAGAAGTAGAGATAGCTTCTGGGGCAAAGTCACTAACCTGAACCACATATATTTTGTGTCTGATTTATTAGGGAACCCTACACATCTACTCTTCAAAACGACTACCATGAATTCTGGATCCAGTGGCGGTTCTCGTCCTCGGCCGGCAAGCGGCATGCGTTCGCCACCTCGGGAAGTATATCCGGGCTTACCTCCGTCTGCTTGGACAAAAGCAGAATAAGATTATCGAGATAGTTTCATTGATGATGTTGTTCCTGTACCTCCATCGAAAGAAAGTTGGCTCGTGAATATGTACCGCTAAGAAAACAATACGGATGATCCCCAGTGGTCTTCGTCTCCATCTCAAATATGGAGGAGATTTCGTGAATGATGAAGACATCCCAAAGGTTCCGTTGACCTACGACCTCATGTACCCTGTCTGGAACCAATACGATGATACCGGCCCCGAAAAAGAGCCTGGTCCCCCCAACCCTAGCTTTCGCTTTCGGCAAATCAGGAGAGTTTGTGGTAGCTGTTAATCATTCACATCCAGGATTCGTGCCCAACTTTATCGCGGTTAACGACTCTGGCCGCCTGATTGCCACTTTGACTGGAGGTGGGAATCCCGAAGACTACAGAGCGGTTTTGTTTGATTTGAAACAGGAGAGGAGCATGGGAAAGGAATTCTCGCTGAAGAGGCTGCCAGATTGATGGCCAAGTCTCTATCATCGTCTCACGGTGAATCACTAGGAATGTTGCTGGCAGTGGAGGGAACGAATCAGGTTCTGCTTCCTTGTATCGGGTAGACAATGCAGGGATTCTGATTAAAAGGGAAAAAACAGTTGGCCTCGGGATCGGGAGCTGGACTCGCGTATGCTTTTCTGGACGACGTGAAGAATCTGATTGATGACAAACTTTCGCTCCCCGGCGGTTCCTTTTCCGCTTGAAGAAGAATACAAGGACTGGTCTGTTTGGTCTCTTGACATAGCTGCGGGTTGGGCGAGAAGAGTCATGTGTAGTGTTGCAGCTCAAACCGTTGATGGCGATCGTTTCGTGACCGTGTACGGCGTTGGACCTGGTGGCTGTAGGATCGTCTTTCCCGACGAACCGGTAGAATCATTCATGCCTACAAATGAAATACTTTTCTCCAAACCATATCGTGGAAAAGACATTGCCAGCATCCGTTATTTGGGACCTGACCCCTTTCTCTGAGCAAAACTAAAGTCGCGGCGGTTTTTCTAATTTGATGTCAGTAATATAGCCAGTTGCTGTAATTCAATTGCAGTAGAAATAATTTAATGGTTTCTCTTTTTTAGTTCAAAGGCTATTTGGTACGTAGCAGTATGTGTTGTTTGGTTTGATGAACTGTAATGTTGAATGATAAAGACCTTTGTTGGTGATCCGTACATAATTTAGACCTGAAATGAAGTTTCAATTTGGTTTCTACTGTGAAGTATGATGGAGGAATTTGCACCTCAACTAAACAATAGAGGCCCTCTACTTGATGAAAAATGCCTGGTTACTGCTATATTCAATGCCTTTGCTTTTTCCATAAAGACTTGGCCACAATCATCACTGCAACTCATAAAGCAATGCTCAACCTAAGAACCGAACTCAACCTAACAATCATCACGCAGACAATAACAATCCCTTTGGAGTTATTGTTGCAATTCCGGTTTCTGCTCCTCACGTAGTCACATTCCCTTTAATTTAAAAGGTCTTATGGATGTTTGATTAATAAAACTACATTTATATGCTCAAGAAGAAAAGAATGATCAAAGCGAGAGAGGAAAATGTGAATAAACCATTAATTATAACTACACTTTCGAAACATCCCGAGAAAAGCAAGACAAACACATACTACTATGAAGATCTTTGTCTAATAGAAAAAGAACATGCGCAGGAGACAATATTAGATTGTGTCTTTGTGCCATCAATCTAATCTGCGCCCGCATTTTCATTGAGCCCCTCCCCCTTCAAAAAAAAACACTTCCCCCCTCCCACCAAAACACTTACAAGTCTACTACCAGTAAGTAGTAATGTTATATATTGGTCATACGTTGTTGTACAGTTGATGAAAGAGTCATTCTTGATGCCTTCGACAAGTGATCAACTTGTTAGGCTTGATTAAGCAGCACATCCTCCGCAAACCATTCCCCGCCTGTTTGAGAGACAAGAAGATGATTACGGAACCGTTACAAGGTTTCTTCGGGGATTGGCCAAAAAAAAAAAAATGATTATACTCTCTGCAAAATCTTTCAGATTAGAAGTTAACTTTTTCAATAAGAAAGGCAGAGAATGTGCATGATCAAATTGAAATGCAGCAACTTACACAATGGAGCAGCCAGAGGTTCTGTGCCTTCTCTTTCGTGCAACTTCTTTCCTCCTTGGAGGTTGGAGAACAACTTTGATGGCAGTGTCAAACACAGCTTTCACATTCTAAACAAGTAACAATTTTACAGGGTCAGTCATGAGAATGAGACTGAGTCTAACACAATCTATCAAAATACCTTTACCAATGGCTATGCACAGCCTATAATAAATATCCAACTCGGAAAAATATTCATCTCAGGCAAAGGAAAATGGGATAATATCCACAAACCTGCTGTGTTTTTGAGCTGCACTCAATGTACGCAGCTGCCCCAATTTGTTTCCTCAGCTCCTCACCCTGTAGAGCTCGAAGTCAGAAAAATTTCCTTCTCATCACAACAAATTGTGTTCTTTTCCATGGACCTATGTGATAAGTAGTAACCTAGGATTACAAGTGAAGAAAAGAGGTACCTGAGCAGAGGTGATGACGTTTGAACCCATATGATCAGCCATGTATCCTCTATCATCGCGAAGATCTTTCAAGCAATCAAAAGGAAATTGCTTTTTGTTAGCACAAGCTGGGAGGTTCAATTGCAATGCAAGTAACAACGTGACCACATAATCAACTGAGCAACATACCTAACTTTGTACCAACAAGAACAATGGGAACGTTAGGTGCAAATCTACGAAGTTCTGGCATCCACTGCAGGAGAGAAATTGAGATCAGACTGTGTCTTCCACGCCAAAACAATTTCACAGTAATAATACCAAACGGTTGGTTGAAAATGAAAATAACGTAGTGTAAAAACAAGAAGCATTTTTCATCTGTTGGGCATATTTGAAAAGTGTAAAACAGTGGAACGAAAACGAAAGGCAACCAACTACCAAGAAACAACAAAAGAACAAGTAATCAATTCTGAGATATATGCTTACCTTTTTCAGGACATTTTCATAACTTGCACGACTGATTAAAGAAAAGGCCAACACAAATATGTCAGCACCTCTGTAACTAAGGGGCCTCAATCTGCTATAGTCTTCCTGACCTGAACATAACAGATGATCAAAGGATTAGGAAAGAAAGATACAAGATTTCTAAGAACTGAACAACTAATTGAGAGTACTAAAGGCATTCAAACTACATTCTGGAAGAAAATAGATACCTGCAGTATCCCACAATCCCAAATTGACAATGTTACCATCCACAGCCACATTAGCACTGAAGTTATCAAATACTGTGGGAATATAATCCTGAAAGTAAAAAGCCAAGAATCTGTAATGAGGATTTAAAAGCCCTAAAATTTCATGAAAAGATAAAAAACCAATTTAGTAAATTTACAGGACAAAGAAAGGCAGAAACTTGGGAACTAACAGCAGGTGGATAATGCAAGACGAAATCAACCAACAAAAAAAACATTTTTTTTTAAAAAAAAGCTTCTTGTTTTCTTCAAGAAAATCCAAATGGAGGAAACTTACGGTGGGGAACTTGTTACTGGTGTAGCAGATGAGCATGCAAGTTTTTCCAACAGCACCATCTCCAACCGTGACACATTTTATGAATTTCGAAGCACTCATCATCCCAGACCCTTCAGATTGTACAGTAACACCCTTTCAGCTACAGAACTTGGAAAATAGGAAAAAGCCCACAAATTTTTTCAGCAAAAAAAAAAAAAAAAAAGCAGAGAAAGGAGATTAAAGGGTTGAATTGAAATGAGGAAGAAAAGGTGAAAGAAAGCAAAGGAGAAAGGGGAAAGTGAAGGGATTAATTAGGCAGCAGAAGAAGAAAGAAAGAAAACTTAACGGAAAAGAAGAGTATCTAACAAAGATGTTTGAAGGGACAAGAGGAAAGAGTTAGAAAACAGCAAAATTTAAGGGGAGAGAAAGGGGTCCCTCTTCTTCCTCCTCCTTCTTCTTCTTCTTGTTTTTTTTAGGCTTTGTGTTCTCAAGAAAAACTATTAAACAAATGATGCCAATCAGACTGTTTTGTTGTTTGTTTGTTTTTGGTTGGAGAGGTGGAGTCAAAGTGTCTTCACTCTTCACGGTCTCTTTTTTGTTTTTTCAATTTCATCCCTCTCAATAAATTTCAAAAATCTAACAGAAAGAAAAGAAAATTCTTTTGAAAAATGGCAGAAAGATGATGAGATAGAGAAGATGATTGGGACCCTCTGCTTCAAACGGCTCCAAATAACTTTAAATGCCCGATGGGAAATGGGGGATCCATCTTGATCTGGCTTACTTCTCTCAGGAATCTTTCACTCCATTATTTATTGCGGTAATGTCTTAGGTAGATTGAACTAGTAGAATTTAATTTACTACTACTGCCATTTATTTCCATCTTTGGGTAATTATATTCTCGCAGCAGTGTTATATATGACGTAATAAATATGTCACTGCCACCATTTTTTTTAAAAAAAAAGAGTTCAAAAAATAGAGAGAAAATTATAAATAAATTGGTAACAAAGCAACTTCATGGGGGAAAAAAGAAAAAGAAAAGGGGAATTACAAGTTGCGAAATGTGAAAATACATTACAAAAACCAGTAAACGCGTTAGCAATTACACATTCTGTTATCAAATCTCTATTGAAATTTGAATTTTTCATTCGATGTGATAAATTAAGCTATTTATACATAATAAAAGGATCGTGTACTGTAAAGTGCATACTCATATCAAAGATTTTTATGCAGAAATTAGTACAATTAAACAGGAGTCACAGCGGGTTTAGCATCTTTCTGAGGTTGATTAAAAAAAAAAGGGTAGAGAAATAGAGAATCCTTCTTGTTTATAGTAGGATTTTTGTCCTAATTGATGAAATTGGTTGTTTTTTGAAAAGTGCACAGTAAAATTTTTGAGTCCCCAGTTTCTCAGAGTCAGTCAAACATCCATCAGTTTATTATTAATGCTGATTAGGAAATGACAGTCATTTTATGCTTCAAAATCTGTAGTACAAATGGCAATTACTGGTCTTTAGCAAATGTCCTCTGCTCTGACTCTGAGCTGTGTGACTCTTTCTTCTCTGTAAGAGTAAATAAACAACACGTGAATAATGAATGATTTTCTGTCGCAGTAAAAATGGTCTCCAATCCTTGGGTTAAAAAAATATTCTCACCGTTCTTTATAATAATAATAATAATTCACTTTATTTTTGGACACTTTATTAAATTACTAGTACTACGAAATTATGAATGTAGAATAACAACATAAAAATCTTGTCGTGAATTAACAGTCTAACACAAAAAGTGGCCGCCCTAAGTGTTTGTTTCGAAACAGTATCTTCCTTGGAAGTAATATCGTGTGATCTGTTTGTTGTTAGGTTGGTAGTTGTCAAAAAGCAAAAGCTTTGTATTATCAAAGTACCATTAACTGTGAATTAAAAATGTTTCATTCTTTGTTGTTTAAAATTTAAAAAAGAGGGGAAAATCGGAAGCCAAGTTGATCGACATGAACACAAAAGAGTTCATCTTTTCGAAGATCAAGTTCATTTGAGATTAGAAGTAAACTTTGGGTTTTAAGTTTAAACTGTGAATGAAAAGGTAACTTATCTCATCAACTCTCACTTCTATCGTGCTTGTGTATAGTAATATTTCACTTGGTCAAATCACTTACTCCCTCCATCCCAAAATCATTGTTCAGTTTGAGTTTTCATTTCTAATCAAATTGTACTAAAAGTAAAATCTCAAACTGGACAATAATTTTTGAGTTTTCATTTCTAGTTCAAATTATACTAAAAGTGAAATCTCAAATTGGACAATAATTTTAGAACAGAGAGTAAATAACTGTAAATTGCAATTGATTTAAGCAATCAATTTTTATTTTTTTTTTGGGTAAGTTCACTTCTTTTTTTTTTTTCACAAAGATGATGAATTGATGATCCGAGTATCCCAAAATAAACACAATTGGCAATTACTCGAAGGTTAGACTGTAAATTCTATGATTCTAGGAAACAAAATGCATCAACACAGCGAATTCCCCAACAGGAAAAGCCATCTTCTTTGTTCAGCATCTCGCGAGTCTCGTGTTGCCTAAAAAAAATGGGACACGAGAGACATCTTCCATAGCCAGCCAGAGAATCATTTCCGTCTCAAAGAAGATCGAGCTTCTTGTTGTCAATGTTTTGATTCGACAATCTAAAGTCTAAACTATCATCTTAAACCAATCCATCTACAGCAGAAACAACACAAACCAATGGCCACAAGCCTACCATCAAACCTTATTGAACAAGAATTACTGCTCTCATAATTCCATCTAGTTCAAAATTCATAATGGCCTCATTCAAACAAGCATTCAGTAAAAGATCACAATAATGGATACCATCCTGACCTCAATTGGTGCAGGCCGGCATTTGCTTAATGCTCATACGCGTGAAAGTGACATGAATAAACATACTATTCCACAACAAAAACAAGAAGGAATAATCTTGCTGAAGGAGAGAATCACGAGACAGAGCCAGAGATGTTTATCTTATAATATATGTATGAAATAACTAGGAACCACGAGATCCAAAGCAGTTGTACTCTCATCAGAGCACAATGCTACAATTCATTCAAACTAAAAAAGGTTGCTTCCATAGAATACTACTAGGGCAATCCACAAAAGGCATTCAAATCCTTGAAATAAATTATGGAAAACAAAAAATTTAAAGAGCCTTGATGATTTCATCAGCACCAGACACGGTGAATTCTCCTCCAGCTTCAATGTTAGCTACCTTCACCTTAAGGTCATCTGCCAAGATAGCAAACCTCCGAGAACGGGTGCCAAGTCCCTTGTCAGAGAGATCAAGCTCAAGGTCGAGGGCCTTAATGTATTTTCCAGAGCCATCAGCTAGAAACTTGACATGCTTGTTCTCTGGGTAAGTCTTTGCCCATGCCTTCATCACAAAGGGATCATTGACTGCAAAAAGGAACCAAAGGAGAATGAACATCAAAGAGAGGACACATTAATCGTCCTTGCTTGTATAAGCATCATGACAAACTAAAAACCATCAGAAATTGTTGCCTACCCATGAAGTACAGAAAGAATTAAAGCTAATACATAATGTTCAATCTTTTTACTTATCATACCACAACAATGACTATTAAATTGACAACATACCACCAGATTTAATCCACAGGCTGATTCAATTCTGAATTCATCAAGTATTGGAGAGGAAACAATAAAAAAGATTGGTTCTTTAATCCTTTTTTCACATAAGGACAAATTATCTTGACAACATACAACAAATTTGATCAGTGTCACAATTCCACTCCAGATTCAATCAAGTCATTTGGTTACTGATGAAAACAATTAAAAGAGACTGGATCTTTTGAGCATTACTAAACTGTCCTCAGCCGATACTTAGTGACACATGACTCATCAATTTTAAATGCATCAAGCAGATAAATACCAAACAAAAAAACAAAAATTCTGCAAAATTCTGAAAAGCCAAGCAGATAAACCAACGATAATCATGACACAATCAATTCCACATAAAATTGATTAAGTGAAGAATCATACCGCTAATGCACAAAATCTCGCCAACACCCTTGGATTTCAATTCCTCAGCCCTCTCAATGAATCCGGGCACATGCTGCATGCTGCAAAGAAAACACAACCGAAAAAACACATCAAAAACCCAGATCAAAACCCATAAAACTGAAAACCCAAAATTAAAAAGAACCCTAATCGAAACAACCATTGATCGGACCAAAAGATCAAAGATTTTACCTGCAAGTGGGGGTGAAGGCTCCGGGAACGGCGAAAAGGATGACCTTTTTGCCTTTTGCCAAAGAGTGAATGGAAACGCTCTGGAGCTGATCGTTCTCATCGAACCAAGCCAAAGTTCCATCGGGAAGGGAGTCACCAACAGCAATTGGGGCCATTGTTTTCTGATGAAGAAGAAGAAGAAAGAGCTACTGATTGATGATAAATCACAGAGATATTGAGAAATATGAAGTATAGATAATTGGGTGAAGAAGAGTGGGGAAGAAGACGGTATTTATAGAGGAAAAAATTATGGTGTACAAAATGTGTAAAACTCTTTTTTTAGTACAAAAATAATTACTCTTTAACTCTCCTACTTTGTTGGTGATTTTTCATTCAAATTATATACTCCGTCCGTCCCATAATTATTGTCCAGTTTTACTAAAATGAAAGATTTTATTTTTGGTCAAATTTAACTATATTTTACCTTAAACAACCGGATATACCCCTACATAAATAATAGTTTAACCACTAAGATTTTATGGATAATGTTTTTTACTAAGGACAAATATGTAACTTGATCCATAAAAAGTCAAATTGGACAATAATTTTGGAACAAAATTTTTTGGGCAAAGTGGACAATAATTATGGAATGGAGGGAGTACTTTTGTCTCTATACAATGCATATACATATAATTGATTATCCAACATCTAGTCGGAGAATTTAAGACTATTAAATTTAAACTTATGGATTTGATATTGAATAATTATGGGGTTTTTTTTTTTTTAAAAAAAAAAGCTGTTATAAAAATCCGGGCTTGAGCCTGGAATTATGGGATGGGCTCCTACTCTTCTTGAAGGGCTTGTTGTGTGTGACAAGGTCAAAGGTTCCTTCTTCAACTTGGATAGATTTGACTGTGTTTTTCTCTTGAAAATCTAAAGTCAAATGAGAAATGAGAAAATGTCCTACGATTGTGGGAACCTTCCTAAACGGCTGCCCATATTGGCACAACTCTAGAAACATCGGTGAGAAATAGTATTCACTCCGTTCCAATTTAATAGGCTCACTTCTCTTTTTAGAATGTTTCAAAACTTAGTCTTATTTCAGATAATTAATTAAGTTTTACTACAAACTCTCTAAAAAAAACCTTTATTAAGATACAAAAGAGTGGTTGATCGTAGAGGAAAAAAGTAATGATTTTGCAATTTTACATCTGTCATTCATCAAATATCTCATTCTTTATTTATTTTTCTGTTGTGTATTTCCAAACCTAAAGCAATTTCTTATACGGAAACCAACAAACCATATGCTAATTCTTTGGGAGGAGACGATGGAGCTGGAACCGATGAAATCGTAGGAAATGTATATCTTGATTTTTCATTTAGCTGTTTTATCCTCAAGAAAATACTAGAAGTTTTGTTTTTTTAAAGTAAATGGCGTTCAGTTTCTTCTTAAGCCTTCAAAACATCTTGTTACATTTTTTACGCAGGAGGTTGAAAGTTGAAACCCGATTGTCGTGGTAATATACGGGTAAATGATAACTCAATTGAAACCTTTATTTCTCATGACGATGTGATAATCATTTATTGAATATTTGTATAAAAAAATGGTCAATAAATCACAAATATCTATCCATCATCAGCTTTATCTTGTTAATCACATTGAGAATTCGTCGTGAATATAACTCGGTGTCTTGATCTTGATTGTTATTATTCAATTATTATGACAATATTCAAAAAGAGCTAGGTTTTTAACGTTCTAACACTGCCTAGTTGGCTGGTAGGATCATCCAATAATCCAATTCAACCATTAGTAAATAAAATTGATTTGTGGGTCAAATGAATCAAGTCAACGACTTATAAACATTTCGATTCAAATAGGTTCCTTCATCATCCAGTCCTACGTCAACGCTCAATTATTCGGGTCAACATTTGAAAAAGTTGACTTATAATTGTATGAAATCGATCAAATGCAGCTCGTGACTTGTGAGAGAAGTAGTAGGAAAAAGAAAGGTAAGCCGTTGCATCGCTGGGGGCATTCAATGCTCTGATGGGGGGATAGGAAAGCCGACATCTCCCTTCCCACCTATATCAATCTATTCCTGTTCTTATTTTAAAACATTTGATTTCTTATAATTTTCATTCATCATATTTTTTCAATTAAAAATTATTAAGTTGTATAATCTGTTCCACATCGTCATCGTAAAAAGAATTGACTTAGTATATATAAGTTTAAAAGACCACCTCATTGTCAATTGATTTTGAGATAGGAGTCTAAAGTACTTATATACTTGGACAAAAATAAAACATCAAACACATTTTATAATAATTGGGAGAACATAATAAATATGATAATATATTTTTAAGATTTTATTTTAAATTGCAAAAATACGATAAATGAAATCTAAAATTATATGGCAGCTTCATTTGTATTTTTTAGGTGGGTATATGGCAGCTTCATTTCAAACCTTCAGCTTTTTCATTCAACTGTAGTAACGTTATTTTTCTTGAGGGTGATGGAGTAAGGGGTTTCTATATGAAAGATGTACCAAAAAAAAAAAGAAAAAAAAAAGCAATGAAGTAACTGATGATACTACAATATTTTCGAAGTACAATACAATTTTTATAAATTAATAGTGTTGGGACCAACGAAATTTATTATTTTAGAGAATTATTAAATAATCGATAAATTAATAAATAATTAATTTAAAAAAATTTTATAAGAAACAAGAACCATCACTAAATTACATAATTTATAATTTTCTTTATATTCGAATTAATCAAGTATTACAAACTCTTTTGAATACTTGATATCCAACATAGTTCATATCATTTCTAGTGCTTGAAAAACAAGTACAATAGTTTATGTTGTACTAAATATTTGTAGTTATTATCATTATTATTATTTTGATTTTAGGGTATTTATTTATGGAAAGTGATATATGTAGTGAATAAAAATAGTGACAAAATATAGTAACTGATGTGGACTAATCATGGCTCTTAGTTTTTTACTACTTTTCAGTTAAAGTTTTATTTTTCTTCCCAAATTATATTTTACCCTTAATTAATAAATAAACATGTTTTGTAAGTAGATGGTGTATTTGTCTTTTCATTTGTCATTATATATTTTTAATGTACTTAGTCACTGAATGTATCATTGCTGTTTATTTATTTATGGTGTTGATGGGACCTCTAGATATATAAGAGATTTTCTGAAACATTATTACCTTATCATTTTATCCCAACTTGAGACCAAAGAAAATTATTAATTGTTAGAAATTATTAATTTATTAAATATTAATTTACCGACGTTCTATTATATAGCGTTAATGTATATTCTTTAATATTTGAGCATATCTTTATTTTTTTTCTTTAAATTATAAAATTCAAAGAAGCGCGACCACTCTTGTCTGTCTCCTCAGTTTATGTGAATATGAAATGGATAATCTGTTCGATGAGAATTGGTCAAAGTAAACTACTTCAGCGGTTGCAATTTGCAAATACGTAATATATGTGTGTGTGAAGCTACGGTGTGAATTCAACCCAACTGATCGGGATTCCTTTTACCTTTCTTCTTGTTTTGTTTTCTTTTTTTTCTTTAATAATAAAATTTGAATCCTTCAAAAACATAATTCTGATGAAGCAAAAGAAGAAAATACCAAGTCCAATTGATCATCCAATTATGATGAATTAATTATTCAGTATGCGGAAAATTTGACCACCGCTACGCTAGGCTTTCCATGCATCTTATATTATGTCGTATAGCTGCAAAATGTTAAAAATTGCCGCTCTGAACCCACCAAACTCTTTAATTAGTGAGACAATTGGCAGCTGATTGCTTCTTTAACTAAGCAGAGGAGATTTTATTTGACAAACACAACACATTATTACGATACAAATATGAACAATCATAAATCATGTACTTATTGTTTTATAGCAGCAGTTTAGCACCTACCATTTAACTAACTTGCTAGTGCTGCAAATGGCAAAACTGTTCCATACCATACATTTTGCCCCCAAAATTTCAGCCCATGAATTGAGAAGAGCTTGTTAATGCGGGTCAGTAACGTGGGTTATTTACCTTACTGGTGTCAGCTCTTAAAGTTAACCCCGAAATTCCACTTATACACCGAGTCAGATTCTAAATGGTCCACAATCTGATCATCAATGGCTTGATCACATTGCATTATTAGACCCAAGTCAGATGAGCGTGTTTCTTCCCTGTCTCTAAGTGTCTTGTTTATAAGCGTCTTTGGAAAGTTCGTTTGGACAACATGGATCAAAGAAAGTTCATAACTTGGACTGCGTGAATCAGAGCAGTAGATTTGGTTGATAACAATAATACCACACACACAAATAAACATACTTGACGGCCTTCTTCAGAATACAAACAGCTCTGCATCATGCGTAGAATCATCGGCACACAGTTTCCTTGGATATCATATGAACATTGAATCGACTGTGCAGAAACTCCAATTACACTGGCACGACAAACTGACCATGAGCCTACAGGGATGAGAAATTGGTAAATGCAGTGTGAAAATAAGCCATTTAGAAAAAGAAAAGACAGGAGCTGGAGCTGTAGGATGAAAGCATTTCAGCAATGTCAAAAAACAGAATTTCTCGTTGTACATGACAACTGCATAGCTTGACTCACGTATTTCAATCCAATGAAGCCACACAATCACCGCGCCTTTTATCAGGTCATTTGACTCACGTACTTATATTTTGTCCATGATTAGATAACTAAATTGGAACAAACTTACCATAAACAGAACCTCTTGGAGTTTATGCTGATACATCGGTTACTACCAGAAATCAGTAAAGGTGTATGAACATTATAAGGTGAATCTCGTATCCTGTTTAGTCTAGTGTATTGATCATGAAATTCAACAATGAGTTCCCCCATGAAAGAGAGAATTGATTCGAGTATCTGATGAAATCAACTCACACTAAATAGGTGCGGTCAACGATCATGGAAGACCAGACACCCCTACTGGAAGACTGAGCGGGAGTCTTTTCCCTACTCCGTAGTAGTACTATCATCTTCCCCAATTGGCTCTACCTGATTGTAATAGCTAACTACCTCTAAACTCTAAGCTTCTAAGGCTCTGTATAGTTTGTTTTTTACTAAGTTTTTTCAGAATTAAATATTTATAACTGTCTAATGCCAGCATATTTTTTTTACATTTTCAATACACATTTTTACATTTTTAATAAAAACACATAAAAATACACATTTAAAAAACGACGCAAACATACTCTAAAACATGTGGTCTCAGAAAAGGAAAGTAAAAATTAAAACTCATGTTAAATATGTCAAAATCAATCTTTTTGAAAAAAACCAACCTGCCATAAGTACTTTACTACTTTCCTAGACGGATAATCCAATAAAGAAACAGAAGAAAAAGCAGCAGTCTTTGATACAA